CTACATACTCGCCAGCTTGTGAGTACTCTCACCCTATCGTATTTTTGCACCCTCTAATCCCAAATTCTATCACGCAGCACCTGCATATTGTAAGATTCTTCATCCGGCTGCTAACCTAACCGTCGTTAACCTCTCTTTAGCCCCTGCTTCTCCCGCCTATAGCCCGACGTCACCCCAATGGTCGCCTTCAAGTCCGGCACAGAACGGCCGCAGTCACTCGTACAGCACGTCACCGTCCTGGGAGTAAGACCATTGTTCCATGTCTGGTGTCCGTCCCATGCGTTGGCGTTATTATCTAGCACGTTTCTTTTCTGTCAAGCATTCCATGTAGATTAAGCACATTTTACTATACAAAGCTAGATATGCCTATTATCGCGTCCCTCTCAAAAGTGAAGCATGATAAACATGAAAATTGAATGAGCGGTATGTATCTATGTATGTATGTTAAACATGAAAGTCAGCATATGTACTTAAACCTTCTTTACTTATCTTGCAATTGGGGCGATGGCATGGCGACATGTATATATATGAAAAAAAAGAAATGAAAGAAAGTCACATCGCTCTCAAATCAACTCCCGACTCAACGCAAAAAAGCGTCCAAAAAAGAGAAATATCAAATGTACGTACGTAGCAGAGCTAGAGCTATTTGCAAAAGAGTGGGTTTGGTTGTGGTGGTGTGATGGTTGGCAACGCCCGCGCGCGCGTATAGTATTACACGTGAGGGTATATGAGAGAGAGACAAGTGAATTGAAGTGAAATGGGGACGTGGAGAAATGGGTTGTAACACGTGGGGGTGATGAGGGATGTCACGATGTGATCCGACAGCTTTAATGAGGTACTGTACTGTGCAGCGCAGCCGCTTGTAAAAATGCGAATGCTCTTCATGCCGAGTTTTTAGATCAGGGGGATAGAAGTGGTTGTGCAAGGAAAAGAAACGTAGGCAAGGCATCGGACAGGAAGAAAAAGAGAAGATAAAAGATAAAAGCGAGCCAAAAATCGAACCGAGCAAGCACCGGTACCAGCAACAAACCGCTCAGATAAAAAATTGGGTACTGCAGTGATTGATTAGTACACAACCACTCAAAAGATGAGGAACGTACTGCATCCGACTACAAGCATGCACTTCCATCTCCTCCATCTTGTACGAATTGAGCTCCTCTTTAATGCGCTGCGCCAACGCAGGCGTCAATCGACTCCACGTCGCAGGCTCGCTGCGACGATCATAAACAGCCGACGAAAACGTATCATAAACTGACAGATTATTTGCAAACACGAGCCTTTTGGCAGGCGTCGTCGCTGAGCGGTGGGTCAGCGTTGGTGGGGTCGTAGGGATCGTTGATAGGGCTGGGGCGGATGAGTTGGAGAGGGTGAACATGCTCCTTTCTTTCTCTACTAGAATGTTAGATAGGTATGATTTAGTGAGGAGAGGCGTACCTCCTGCGGGTGTGTTGCTTGAATGCGAGGCGTGTCGATGCAGGCCATCGATATGGTCTGGATCGGGAGAGGGTATGCGAGCGAGTGGACCCAGCTCGGATGATTGCGCCGGATGCGAATTATATGAATTCGAGCGTACGCGAATAGCAGGGTTCACCACGGTCTCGCCATTATACACCTCTTGCGAGTAATTATCAGCACCTAGAACAAGATCAGGGTAAATAATGCCCAATCTGCCCGATACGCACCTTTAAGGATGCCCTTTGCAGGCGTTCTTTGACGCTCGATGCTACGCCTGATATTGGTCGCCCAAGCGACGACCTCCTCGTCTTCGCCCGCTACACGAATAGTAAGATCCTCCTCCCCATCCTCATCCCAGACTTCATCGTCATCCCAGCCTTCCGATATAAAGTTCTGTGCAGCAGGATAGGCATGTCCATCATCACTCTCATCATCCTCCTCGACTAAGACCCTCGTCCCATCCTCATTGACCCTGGCACTCGATTCGCCGGTCCTTGTAGCAGTATTCTTCTCCCACGCAGCAGGAACATGGATCCCATTCGGCTGAGGCTGGACGGGCTCGACGCGTACCTTTGCTGCAGCAGCAGCCTCGGCATTACTCTTGAGTGTATGCTGGCGGGCAAGTTTAGCAGCAGGACTCAATCCACTCATCTCTGGACTGCTCCAATCGCCACGATCGAGCTCAGCAACAGCGTGGGAAAGAGCAGGAGCTACGAGATCGCCTTTTGCGTCCTTTTCTTTTTTCTTTTTCTTCTTGCCGTTATCGTCAGTGCCTTCAGAGGACTTGTTCTTGTCTTTGAAAAGGGAAGTTATTCCTGCGAGGCTGTTCCGCCTCGCGAGCTTTCCGATTGAGCCGATCTTGCGGATGACGACGGAAGCAGAGGACATCGTAGATGAAAGAGAGATGTTATCTGTGCTAGCGTTGAGGCGGGAGTTGAACAAGGATGCTGCACGACCTTTTTTCTTGGTCTGAACTGTGGCGGTGCTGGCGGCGTCAGGGTCAGGGAGGGTTGTTGGAGTGGTTTTTGTTGTGCTTGCACCGGCAGAGGGTTGTTCTTCCTCTTCTTGCAAGGCTTGAGCGGCATTGAGACTGAGTGCACGACGGAGTCTGCCTTTGATGCCACCTGTTTTTGCACCGATGGAAGTACCTTCGAGGATAGCTGCGAGATCGGAGTCATCACGTGACATACGCTTTTCCGCAGCAGTGTATGTGCCTTGACTTAGCGGGGAGGGCCGGACTGGACGAGCATGGGAAGAAGAAGCGGATTGGGGAGTTGTAGCTGTTGAGGTGGAAGACCTAGATGGAGGATTAGATAGGGAAGGGCGTGGAGTTGATGATGAGTTTGTAGAGGAGGTAGATGGGGTGCGGTTGTGTGGACGGTTGTTAGTGGATGATGAATTGCTTCCTGTGCGTTGACGTGGATTTTCTGTTGCTGTTGTTGTTGGGATCCTTGGACGAGATGGCACTTGACCCTGGCTTGTTGTCCGTTGGCGTGATGCTCCGCCATGAGAGGAAGAAGAATTAACAGAAGTTGTAGAAGCGGAAGCTTCACCGCGTGCATAAGGAGGTTGGGCACGCCATTCCTGAAGTTCTTGAGGACGGGTATTATTTGGACGGCGATATGGATGAAAGCCATTATATTGAGCTGCATCTGATGATACTGAACGTTGTACTTGAGGAGGGGGGTAACTTTGATGATGAGCATGAGGAGGGGGAGTTCCACTTGGAAAAGGGGAGAATAATTGGGTTGGGTTAAAGTAATCAGGACGAGGATGTTGTTGTTGTTGAGAATACATCATCTGCTGGTATGCCCACTGAGCAAGTTGAGCATTTGCCTGAGGATCGAAATAAGGATTTTGATGAGGTTGTTGTTGCTGTTGCTGTTGTTGTTGCTGTTGTTGTTGTTGTTGTTGTTGGTAGTAAGAAGGGTAAAAGGGTTGAGCATTTGGACTTGGAGTCCAAGTGCCATGAGGCTGTTGAACTGGGTATGGATAAGGTTGGATGGGTATGTTAGACTGTTGCTCGTTTGGTTGAGGACGTGAATCCATTGTTGTATGATCGCGAGGTGGGTGCCAATCTTGTGGTGCGAGAACGGCCATGGGCAAACTGCAAGGACAGATTTCTTTTGATGATGATGGTTAAGTTGTAAAAGATTAAGATAAAAAACAAAACTCACAAAGATTAAGGAACAGAAAAAAAACAGTACTCCCCCCCCTTCCTTAAGGATGAGTTCGACACGACGGACAACGAATACCGCGACGACCAACAACTGGACAAAAACCAAATAAAACAAAACAATTCACTGAGGGAGTAGGTCTACCGGTGTAATTTCAGTTTACCCACGTGCTACTCATCGCCGCCTTCGCCATCTCCTTATAGACCCTGCCTATATGTTTATGCTCCTCACACGTTGACCGACACTAATAGGTCAATTTCGTGCAGAAATTCAAAATTGGTTCTCTGTTGCTACCCCGCTCCCACCCATTGGCAGCGCTTACTCGAATCTGCCAGCGTGAGTGATCAGTTCTGCCCATGTAACCTTGTCGACGTATAATGCAAAGTACACTTGACACCTGCCATCATTTCAACTCGCAGCCGCAGTTTTGATAAAAAGTGCAGGTCAGCCTTGATAGCCGTAAGTTTCACAGCACCTTTCCCTTGACCCGCACAGCTATGTTAGTCATCAAGGTCAAAAGAGCCCATCTGGAACATTCAAAGCCACTGAGAAATGCGCGACTTGGTGATACCGTTAATGAAAACGTAAGTCAGTTACATTCGGTGGGACAATTTACTTTTTAAACTTTGGCATCCGCTCCCTGACGCTCGAATTTCGTCTACGAAGGAATACATCTTACGTCTGCACCAGATTACGCTGGACCTAAAATCTGGCTTCCGTAGTGATTCATCCAAAGACAACGGTGGCAACGCAACGGGATAACCTGTGCGCGTGTGGCAAAGGAGGCGGCGCTGATGTGTTCTGGTCAACGTGAGTCCGGAATACGTCTTACGTCTGTACCACGGATTACGGGAGAGCTAAAATCTAGCTTCCGTAGTGATTCATCCCTTATTGCATTACTATCAGGCATCTTTCCCTGACGCCATCATGTCGATGCCCAGCAAGCCCTTTAATCATCCAAACTGGTAGTGTTCAATGTTTCGTTTGTCTCTCTAATACTTGGTATTATACAAAGATAACGGCGGCAACGTGATGACCAGGGCATGTATGGCAAAGGAGGCGGCGCTCTCGTTATTTACACCATCCCAAGCCTTCAATTCAACATTCTGGCCTTCACAGAGCGTTCGTATCCCTGACTCAAACTACACCAGACAACCATAAAACTCTTGCTGCAGACATATAAGTCATCCTTACCCGGCCCCCACAATGATAACCAGCCTTACTCTTATCAATGTTGCAATATCAATTACGTACGCAGCTGCTGTACCATATCCACATGGTCAAATCCTGGCTTCCGAATCACCAACCTCCTCTTCTATCCCCACCCCCACTACCCCCTCTTCCACCAACACCAGCGGTGCGTTCCTTATGAGCAAACTTACGGATGCGCAACGCACACAGATCTTCTGGGCTGCAACTGTCATTGCTGTAGCTGTATCTCTACTTCAAGGCGCTATCACAACTCTCGTCGAAATTTGCGAGACAGAAGGTTTATGGACAATCAGATTCAGTTTGGGCAGAAGGGAACATCTCTGGTGGTCAGCCATAGCCATCGCTCTCGTCGCTTCCTTTGGCTGTATGGTCTTATCTTTCCTTGCCGGTAAGCGCCTATCACAACTGTCATCTCGTATATTCAATGTTCCTGTAGGCAATAACAACGATTCACTCGGAATCATATTGCTAGCCAGCGCATCCTCTCTCGCCGTATTCCGCTATGCATGGCCTGCATGGCGTAACCGACACTATTGCTCTAATCGATGGGCAGCATGGACTGGCCCGAGCCGCACAGGAATTGACACGACTCTAGTCCCCTTGATTAAAGGCAACGATCCATGGCCGATCCTTAGTAAAGAGGTCCCAGTAATGAAACAGCACCCCGTCGACATCCGTCTTCCGATCTTCCGATCAAATCTCATCGCCGATGACCCCACAGACATCCTCAAGGCCAGGAAGCGTCTCATGGATACCGTAACAGGACAATCCGAACAGCAGCCAGACCAGAAATCAGAGACACCCCTTGTTCCAGACGACACGACAGGTCTCTATGCCCCCATCCATTCCAATAAATCCGCTTCCCTCCTCTGGGGCACCCACATTGGGTTCTCTCCCCGTGTCAGCCGCGGCATCCTCGCAGTCCCCCAACGCCTCCTCCGATCTTCCCCCCTCACATCCTCAGGGCACGACGGCCAACCCGTCTGCCTCGCGCACGGTATCCTAGGGCGCAACAAAGGCCTCGAGCCGTACAGCTTCATCCTCGGTCTCAACCCCGGCAAATTCGAAGAAAAATGCGTCCAATGGCCACGTCCGAGCAAAGTCCTGCGCACGTACTACCGCGAGGAGATGAACGCAGCTTATGGAGGCCTAGGGTCTGTATTCGTAGATGCAGCGACAGAACTTGCGCTCCTGCTGGCCGATTCAAGCCATAGTCTCATCGAAGACTGGCTTAGCTTGCGCATGGAACATCAGGACCACGCATTGAATAACCAACTCGCGCGTCTTGGTGCGAGTGATGAGGAGCTTAAGGTGTTGTATCGCCTTTCGTACGCCGCGATGTTGGTTAGTTTGAGCGCGCATAGGAAGGGGAGAGAGTGGAGGCCTGAAATGAAGCTTTTTAGGGCGTATTGGAAAATATATAAAGGGGAGGAGATGCCGGCGTGGATGGGTGAAGCTGTGATTGTGGAGAGAATTGGGAAGGAGGAGAGTGGGGCAGGTGATACGGATCTGGATGCGTTGATCGAGGCTGTTTTGTATAAGATTGATTCACCACGTTCTGTATGAATGAGCCACGAGGAATATATAAGTATATTAATATTGCTCGCGCGATCAAGGACTCGTCATGGCTTATGTCATCTTCAGAAGTGGACATCCACTCGTCGGGTACACAGGTCGGAACCGTTGTCGCTGGCAAGTCAGTCTAACATATCTCGTCAAACGGAGCAATGGCGACGACGACGACGACGACGACGACAGTAATCCCAGTAATAGAGGAAGGCAAGCTCCTCAGCGAGTCCCTCAGCACCGTCAAAATACAAGTCGGTCAGATGAAGCGACATTTGGTGAGTTTCTGCGCAGCATATACATAATTTCACTTCAACGCCTGCACGTCATAACTCACCAACATCACATTGGTTCAGGATAACGACGATATAATGGACGCGCTGAAAAGCGCTAGCTTGATGCTAGCAGAACTCCGGACGTCATCCTTATCCCCAAAGCAATATTACGAACTCTGTGCGCCTTTCCTCCTCTTCTCCCTTCCCTAATCATGAATTTTCGCGCAGACATGGCAGTATTTGACGCCCTAAGACACCTCTCCAACTATCTCTACGATGCACACACCCAATCACGACACCACCTCGCAGACCTCTACGAACTCGTTCAATATGCTGGGAACATCGTACCGAGGTTATATCTCATGATCACAGTCGGCGCTGTGTATATGTCTATCTCGGATGCACCTGTAAAGGAGATCATGAAGGATATGATGGAAATGTCTCGTGGCGTGTTACACCCCATACGAGGCCTCTTCTTAAGGCACTACCTAAGCGGACAGACTCGGGACCATCTCCCTATCGGCGTCGATCCAGGGTACGTCCCCATACCACCCCAACACCAAAACCAACACTAACGTCCCCCAGACCTACAGGAAACCTCCAAGACTCCATCTCCTTCGTCCTAACCAACTTCATCGAGATGAACAAACTCTGGGTACGTCTCCAACACCAAGGTCACTCCCGCGACCGCGAAAAACGCGAGATGGAGCGCCGCGACCTCCGTATCCTGGTCGGCACCAACCTCGTCCGACTCTCCCAACTCGACGGCGTAGACCTCGAAATGTACCAGCACAGCATCCTCCCCGCTATCTTGGAACAAGTCGTTAATTGTAAAGATGTGATTGCGCAGGAGTATCTGATGGAGGTTGTGATCCAGGTACGAGTGATGGGGTTGATTGCGGGGCATTAAGGAAGACCTTACTGACTTCCCATCAATAGGTATTCACCGACGAATTCCATTTACATACCCTTGGCCCATTCCTATCAGCAACAGCCCAACTTCATCCAAAGGTGAACATCAAACTGATTGTTATTGCGCTTATCGACCGGCTGGCTGCGTATGCTGCTCGCGAGGCTGAGAGCGAAGACCCCGAGGAGACGAAACGCCAGGAAGAAGCTGCTGCCCGGAGACTTGCGGATAAGGTGAAAGTTCAGAAGGCTCGGGTAAGGGAGAATGATGCTGCGGCTGGTGCACCGCCCTCGGCGGAGGATGCTTGGGATAGTGCTGTTGCTGATACGGAGAAAAGCATGGCTGAGTTGGAGGTTGGTGCAGGGGCGGCTACGGCTACGAATGGCGTTTCGGTGGAGGAGAAGCAGGAGCATGATGGATCGCCCGTTCGGAAATTCAGGGGTGTTCCAGAGAACGTCCGGTTGTTCGAGGTGTTTTGGAAGCAAGTAGTAGAGCTTATTAAAGTGAGTTTCAATCTATACCACCACACGCGATTCTCACTCCGTCCGTAAGGCACGGCCAGACTTGTCGATACAGGATATCACCGCACTGCTTGTGTCCCTCACAAACCTATCGCTAAGCTGTTATCCGGACAGGCTAGAATACGTGGATCAGATCCTTGGCTTTGCGCGTGACAAAATCAAGGAGTTCTCAGAAAGGCAGGTTACGCGCGTCTTTATGACAACTCACACTAATCAAGCTCTCCAGCCCTGACCTCCACGCACCGCAGACAGCTGCAAACCTCGCTGCTCTCCTTGTAGCACCTATAAATTCCTACCAATCTGTCCTCACACTCCTCGCAATTCCCCAATATGTCCCCTTGCTCTCCCAGCAACTTTTCTCGACAAGACGGTCAATCGCTCACTCTGTAATTTCGAGCGTGCTCAAGAACGAAACGATCATCGAGGCGCCGGAAGATGTTGATGGGGTCATGGAACTTTGTCATGTTCTTATCAAGGACCAGACCGATTCTGCTACACCGCAGAACATCACTGGTGCCAAGGAAGTCAGAAGACAGGGACCTTATCACACGGAGAGGGAGGATCTAGCAGAGGAACAGGGTTGGGTTGCACGGATGGTGCATTTGTTCCGCGCAGATTCGTTGGATATCCAATTCGATGTGCGAATATTCTTTGCGGGGGTATCTCCTGAACTGACGTGCTGTGCAGCTGTTACAAATGGCTCGAAAACATCTTGAAGCTGGTGGCGAACGGATGCGCTATACCTTCCCCGCACTCATCACTTCCAGCATCAAGTTATGTAGGCGGTATAAGAACTGTGAACATCTGGTATGTCGTCTTGTTGTTATTGTGTTCTGCTGCTTACCATTCGCAGGAGGAGGGTTGGCAAGACAAGGTCAACACGATACTCAAATTCGTTCGACAATGTACCTCCATTCTCGCCACCCAGGTCGATGCCCCAGCATTCGCACTGAGGTTATTCCTCCTCGCAGCACAGATCGCATCGGAATGCGGCTCTGGATTCGAAGACCTTGCCTACGATTTCTACGTGCAAGCTTTCTCGGTATACGAAGACAGCATTTCGGAAAGCAGAGCGCAGCTTGCTGCTATCACCCTTATCATTGGCACTCTTCAAGGCGCGAGAGTGTTTAATATCGATGGGTACGATACGTTGATAACGAAGGCTGCTTTGCACGGTGCAAGGTTGTTGAAAAAACAGCATCAGGCGACGGCGGTACATGCCGCTAGCCATCTGTGGTGGCAAGAGCCTGTATTAGAAGAGGGCGAGGCTGATGGGCCTGTTGTGAAGGAGTCTGAGAAGGCTGCTTTCCCCCCTAGAGAGGATGGTGAAGGTGTTAAAGCGGTGCGTAGCCCTCGATCCTTACTGAGATGCGATGGCTGATAGACGGTGTCTAGTACCCGCATAAGGACAGTAAGCGTGTACTGGAATGCCTTCAGAAATCACTACGCATAGCAAATTCTGCCACGGAGGAGATAGTCACTGTCCAGCTTTACTGCGATACGCTCGATCAATATTTATATTATTTCGACCGGGGTGCGCCTGCAGTGAGTACTCGCCGTTTCAACAACAACAATAACACATTCATGCTTGAATTAGATCGCACCTAAATTTATAGTCTCACTTGTTGAACTCATCGCCTCCTCCATCGATACGATCACATCTCCATCGTCATCCTCCTCATATCTCCACCCCTCACAAAGAATAGAAGGCGTCGCGACGCCCGAAGTGATCACTCGACACTTCCGCAATACCCTGACATACATCTACGCGAAGAAAACGGCGGAGAACCCAGGACAATGGGATGAAGTCGAGGTAGTGGGGGCGTTCTTAAAGATGGGCATCACGCGGTAGCGGCTGCGTGTTCACTGATCACTGATTGTGGTTCGTTTGTACATAGCGACAGACGCGGCACTTACTTATCTTAATGCCAGGCTGAACGTTGACTTTGGTTGGATCATTCGCGACTCGCGAGTATGCTTACAGTGTTCTTAACTTGCTGTTGTTGTCGTTTTTAGTTAGGGTGTACTTATGACGACCGCTTCTGGTACTGTTGACACCGTGGTTTTGTATATAATATTTTTTTTCACTATCGTGGGGACACTCAATTGCTCGTTTGACACACCGGCGGTTTTGGAATTTTGCACTATGCAAGATTTGTTTTGAAATGTTAATGATAAAGTTGGCATTCTTACTATACATTTTGACGTAGTAAAAATGAAAAAATTGGATGAGTGGATAAATCTTGGACGAAATTCTACATTTTATGAGTCATTTTGACATTGTAAAAGAAAGACATTTAACCGACAGCAAGATCTGAAGAAAAATGATCGAACATTTTGATTCAAATCTTATATCGGGGTAAAATTCCTTTCCAATAGGTAAAATGTGTTTTATTTAAATTTTCCTCAAATCTCACCTCATGTAAGATTTGAATCAAAATGTTCGATCATTTTTCTTCAGATCTTGCTGTCGGTTAAATGTCTTTCTTTTACAATGTCAAAATGACTCATAAAATGTAGAATTTCGTCCAAGATTTATCCACTCATCCAATTTTTTCATTTTTACTACGTCAAAATGTATAGTAAGAATGCCAACTTTATCATTAACATTTCAAAACAAATCTTGCATAGTGCAAAATTCCAAAACCGCCGGTGTGTGAACGATAAACTCGAAGGAACTTACGTAACACAATAAACTTTGTTTCGTGACCTGGGCATAAGTATTGGTCCACTCCATATTCATGTCAAAACGCAAAAATCAAGTTAACCACGAAGATTCCGACAGCGACTCGGAAGACGTATGATTCCATGAGGCTTCCTGTGATGATCTATAGTGACCAGCTCTTAGTAGAGTCCGACGTTCATCGATGTAGATTTCGATTTTTTTGGCTTCAATGCAACGATCGACTACCATGCCATCAAGCGTCTTCTCGATCAGCTCTTTGGTGTAGATGCTGAGGGTCTCAGCACGCACGCTCTTGCGGACCTGGTGCTTTCACAGCCTGATATAGGGACTACGATCAAGACTGATGGAGAGGAAAGCAGCCCATATGCATTTTTGAGCGTTTTAAATATCGGTGTGCACAACGTGAGTATCGTTTGTTTTTTGTCTGGCATTTTTTCAAGCAAGGATTGCTGTCAGGACAACGTGTCTATAAAGTCGCTCGTAGAGTACATTCTGGCAAAATCGAAGGGAGACAATGCCTTCCACGAATCACTATCGACGGTACTGCGTGATCCTCAGTGTCAAGTAGGTCTCGTTCTATGCGAAAGGTTGATCAACATGCCTGTGCCGGTGATACCTCCCATGTACCGTATGCTCGTGGATGAGCTCAGGGATGCAGTCGAAGAGGTGAGTCATTGATTCTTATGAAGTTTTTATATGAACCATAGGCCTTGTCGTCATTCCTCTCAGAACGAACCCTTCAATTTCACACACCTGATTTTCGTATCACGTGTATACAAGCTTACTCCGGAGGAGGAGGATGCGATGACTATCGCCCGACAACAACCAGGGAAAGCGTCAAAAAGACAGAAATCTCAAAACTCGAATGAGGAAACGAACGACAGAAGCCCTGATGGAGTATATCCATTCCACCCAGAGGACGAGGAAATTCGAAAGGTGCACCCCTTTATTGACGTGCTTTGAGATTGGTCTCACCTGGTGTCCTAGTTTGCCTCTCATCATCTGATTTTTCCGTATTCAAACGCCCAGCCACGCAATGCAGAGTCATTTGGATTAGACACGGCTGGACGGTTGATGCTTGTGCCAGCGGCACAGCTCACAGAGCTAGCAAGAGTACTCGGGGATGTATTTCAGCCACCTGGAAATGTGTAAACTGTCGGCATGCCGTCATCCCTCCCCTCATTGGGCGAATGTTAATCTGTGTTTCGATCGAGAGATACTCTGAGTAACAAGTATCGGAAATAAAATAGCGACAGCATACTATGTACGGCCTACCTTATTTTCATCTGCCTGAAAAAAGCACGACATGATATACGCACATGCTAGACCTCGAGGGTCATGTTATTTGTGCGTAGGCGAGCTTGGGAGGCACACTCAGACTCACTCATTTTTGTGCAGGTCAGACGGTAGCTTTATCATGCGCACGTCCACAGCCACTAAGGCTTCAAAATGGTCCTGGGGATGTATTTCTTATGATAGGTGACAGGGTTACAGTGACATGTATGTATATGCAGTACCCACTTGTACCAGAACACTGCCTCAGAACGGCAGGAACCATACTCAAAAGCAAGCGACCTTCCCAGCAATTCCTGCGAATCCTCATCAAGGAAGTACGGAATCCCATATTGCTGCAGCTAACTGAGCGTGCCGTAGATACACCCCTGGTACGCGTCCGTTGAGATCGTAGACGAGTCGCCAACTGAGTTCTCATCGAAGGGCTTAAGTCGTGTCGAGTGCAGGGATATGGACAGTTAACCCTCATTAGTTTGCCCATTTTGATCGTCCACTCTTCTGCGTTTTGTCGTGGTGCCCTCATCAACATCATGGTTAGGCTGTTCTTTGTGAGCAACATAGCACCCTAATGCCTCGCTCCAGACATAGTCGTGAGACAAAATTCTAGTCAGAGTCTTGAATGCAGCAACGTTCGCAAAGGGCACATTTGTTCGTGGGTCTAAATACTTCGCAGGTGTCCCAGTGATCGGACAAGCTCGAACGGGTCGACCTACAATGAGAGTTAGGTAAGACAGAACACCAAACGAAGAAAAACTCACTTAATGGGCGTTGTTTCCCTGTAAACACACGGACTTCGTCCCATTTGACCTCGTCGCCAAACATAGCTGACATAGTATCTTTCCATGGTGGTTTGGCTGCAGATGGATCTTGCGATAGCTCATGCACGATGTAGTTCTTGCAAACGTCGACAACTCTTTCTTGTGCTGGTGGGGGTTGCATGGGGTAATAATAATATGAAGGTTGAGATGGTGTGTTCACAGATGGTGTTGATGACTGCGGTTGTGATGTGGCAGCCAAGCTTTGTGATGCCGTAGGCAAACCTTCCGGCACCTGGCTTGGCAGCGTTGGAACGTATGCACGGAAGGGCGACTGGCTATTTTGTGTCCCAGAGTAGGAAGTCCCTTGATGTGGATTGTAGACAAAACCGTACGGCGATGGATATGGAGCAGGTACCGGAGGTGTGACTTCAACTTTCACTTGTTCTTTACGGCTGATCCATCGCAACACCGGACCTTCAAGAGCGGTTCGAACTACACGAGCACGAGCGCGTTTCTCTTCCTCGAGTTTAAGATAATCCCGGTGCTCAATAATATTCCCCTCCTCCGTGTCGAGAGCCCGCGCGATAAGTTCATCCTGTGTTGGTGCTTTCGTGACTACTCTTGCCTTCTTCGGAATAGTGGCCTGCAGGAGGGACAGTGAAGTGTGTCGAGTATGAAGTTGGATGAGGACTTACCCGCTTCTCTTCTGCATCCTTCATTCTGTTGACGGTTGCCGACGTATTCATGATTGTATGTGATCTTTGACTCTGCCGTTGCCTTGTACCACCCTCAATAACTTCTCCTGTCTCTGCGTTAACCGCGACACCAAGAGATACACGTCTTTTGAGCTTCTGAGCCTCCTTGTTAGGTCTCTTCTCTGAAGTCTCCGTTTGGGGATTAAAGGTGACCCTGTGGCGAGCATGAGCAGCGGCGGTAGCTTTCTCCACCCTTGCGCGCGCGCTCTAGATAAATATGAGAATATTTGTAGACAAACTGTAATAAATACACACCCTCCTCGCTCTCCTTTCCTCATCCTCGACAGTTTTTTCTCCGGTATCAATATCTTCAGCAGCTGCCTCGTCGTCCGTGCTTGCAAAATCTGATTCAAATACATCCTCCTCATCTAAAAGCAGCATAAGACACATTCCATCAGTATTAAGCGCATCGTATTCACCTTTGTCATTGACGAAGTCGACGTCTTCTTCAGCTTCGTTGACTTCCTCGATGGCAAGCTCAGCGAGGGCCGCCTCCATCCTAATCATTTTCAGTCAGGGCAACAACAAAATTACCGTACAAACCTGTTCCCCGCAGTACTTCTCTTCGACCGACGCAATACCAAAGTCTCCTCTTCAGCCATATTGGATGATGTATATAGCACCGCGATCAGAGTCCAAGGGAAACGGGTCCACCAAGAAAGGAAAGCTGAGGCATTAGAATTCAACAGGAGCAAACAACCTATAGCCGGCTACAAATTACTAAAATTCACTCTCAACTTCATTCAGAATGCCTCGGAAACCCAAGTTCATTCCAGGGCCTTCTCGCCTGTCTGTCATACTGAAGGAGTTGAATGAGGAACCAAGGTTATCCTTGACTGGTCTGCGGGGGATAAGCTTGAAGTTGGCTGCAAAAAACGATCATTTCGGAGCACGGTAAGCTACTTCATAGACAACTCTGATACACGCGTATCTAAGACAGACCTAGGCATTTTGTGAAGGAGGAGCTCGGACGCATACGCTATGCCAATCCACAACTCAACGTGGAGGTCAACAAAGTTCCAAAATCTCTACAAGACAATTGGACACCTGAGATGGTCGTCGAGTTCGGTGACTCGATTTCTTCTGTTAAACTTGCTTCACGTTCTGACAGACTTCATTGTTCCCCCTTTACCACTGTTTCTATCAAATGTACAGAGGACGGAGCCAAGACCACCATCGACATTTCAAATAAATGGTCCACATCCATTACCAAGGAACTAATGGATCTTGCTGGTGGTGATGTATGGAAAGAGCACAAGGCTGCTGCTCAATCTGCTGGTCTGCCTATTCTTCCAGGCGAGGAGAAGGAACGCTTAGCTGCTGTCAAGAAACGGACACCGAAATCGAGCACGCGTAACCCAGAGAATCTGGAAGCCATGGTGGAAAATATGTTGTCATCACCTGAGCGTCCAAAGACTGGAGCTGCTGCCATATTACCCTAGCTTGATGGTACTTTCTCACTTCAGTTATTAGATGCATGCATGTGTTACCCAAAAATAATCCTAAACTCATCGTACTGACGGAATTTACATGAACCAATCATCCAGCGAACCATCCAGCGATCAACACAACCATCCCGATTCCGAATACAACCGCCGACAGATCATCAAGGATGGCGCCTCCCATCCGGATATAGCGCAAGCCATTCGTGATGATAGATGGGAATGGAGGGGGCAAATGAGGCAGAGCTAGCGCCAACAAAACCGGGGGCTGCACTTGGTTCTATACAAATAGAATCAGCACAGCATTTATTCGCAACCTGAAGACACTTACATTGCCCGTGGATATACGTATCGAGTGAAGCACAACTTGCACAGTCATAAAAGCCCACATGAACGGCTATACGTCGATCAGCGACGAGATGTCAAGTCAAGCGCGGAACACTGACCGCAAACTGCACTCCCCAGCCCTCGATGCTAGAGTTTCTCCAGGCAAGCTCCGCCCAACGTTTCCATACACTTTCCGAAAAACCACCGCTGCGCTCGACTAATATTTGAGGTTCTTTGACAAGAACAAAAAAGGCAAGAATAAGCCATGTGCACAGGATGTGCAGCAATGGCGTGAACTTCTGCACGGTCGAGAGAGGCTTTGCAGGTGCGGGAGGAGCAGGTACTTTTCCGGTAGCACCACCACGAGAGGGGTCCATTTGTTGCAACGAATTCATGATATTAACGAAAGGGTCACCTGAAGGAGGTGTAGTTGTTCCATTGGAAGCCGCAGCTGAGATCTGAGGCTGAGGAAATTGCGGAGAATTGGCTGCGCCACTCATGAGAGCTTGAAGGAATTGCCTTTGATGCTCTTCTGACCAAACGGATGGGTCAGGTCCTGCTCCACTAACGCCTGCATCTCCAAAAGAGCGCGGGGGTGGCATATATGGCGGAGATGGCATGCTCAGCGCCTCAGCCACAAAACTAGCAGCTGTAGCTCTGGGAGGAATACCTACAACACAAAATATTGATATTGTCCGTGGTACGCCAAGTCAAAACACCCACCAGCATTCAAATATGCGGGAGCATCTTCTCCACGAGCAGTCGTCGTCAATTTCGACAGACGGTCAGTTCCTCTGCCGAGGATAGCTTTGCGACGAGCCTCTGCGCGAGCTGTAGCTGACATTGTGACGGTCGTTAGTTTAGCCTTATTGAATGCAGACAATATGCTGTCTGCCTTTTGACGATGGATGTGGTAGGCAAAAACGTTGGTAGTGCGTAATAATAGGAAGCGGACCCTGACACGTTTTAGGAATGAGGCTGAGTCTCCTCCGAAAGTCTATTCATCTTGTTTCTAACCACTTCGTCTTCTCGTCGACCATCATGTCCAGGCAAGATAAAGCCACGACTGAGCGAAATGCTAAAATCCTCAAAGATTTAGTCAAGCAGTCAGACAATAAGGTCTGTGCAGACTGCAAGCGGAACGGTTAGTCTTGTCCCCATAGTCCATCTCCAAGCTTCTTAAATTACTCTTGAACCAGATCCTCGTTGGGCATCATGGAATTTGTGCGTTTCGCATTACCGCTCCTGCTCTAACCTGACCATGCTTTCCAGAGGTGTCTTTCTGTGCATTCGCTGTTCAGGCATCCATCGTGGCATGGGAACACATATTAGCCGCGTCAAGTCCGTCGATCTCGATATCTGGACACCGGAACAGATGGAGGTAATGCTATATCACTCATATGTCAGTCTTACGACTTGCTCAACGTCGTTTACTTTGCAGTCGATTCAGAAATGGGGGAATCGTCGTGCCAACCTGTACTGGGAATCCCATCTAAAGTCTGGTCATGTCCCCCCAGAGCAGTACGTGATTTTAGCCCTTTAGTCAAAACATAAGCTCACGATTTACCATAGTAAAATGGACTCATTCATTCGTTCAAAATACGAATCTCGAAGATGGGCACTTGATGGACCCCCGCCATCCGATCCGTCGGTTCTTGAGACTGAAACCTCGACTGTACATACCTCACAAGCTGCTGAGCAGCCACCCCCCACGGCTACGCAATCCTCACGCCCAACTCATATACCAAATACCAGTATCTCTGGTGTAAGATCAGCATCTCCAACACTCCAAACCCACATCACAACACGTCAGCCTCAATCCCGTCAATTACTCTCTTCCGCAATCGCTGGCAGAGCAATCAACTCTGAAGTCAATATTATCACATCTCCGACATCTGCTGCACCTCAGCCAACGTTCGCGCAGCTCACCCCTCCATCTCAAGATGACCTATTCTCACTAGACTTCCATGCACCCGCTCAAAAGGCAGCCCCACCGTCGTCGTCTAAAGACATGAAATCAGACATCATGTCCCTCTTTTCCTCTGCTCCTGCTGCCGTCCCCAGTCATTCCAACCTATCGACAGGTGCTGCTTCCAGTACTTTTGGCACTTTTGCGCCACCCTCTCAGTCACAATCAGCATGGGATGGAAGCGCTCCTCAGACACAACCTCAGCCTACAAGCATGATGGGGACCGGTGGCACTGGTTTGTGGGGCGCTTCTTCTGGCTGGAACGCTACTCCCGTTGCACCCTCCCAAAATACACTATGGGGGAGCTCTGTAACTCCTACGGCACAACAGGCCCAGTCCCAAGTGAACTCATTCAATACAAATGATATTTGGGGATCGTCTGTCTCCGCACCCAGTAACTCCAACAACCTTCTCGGCACTTCTCAGGCGCACCCTGCGCCCAAGAAGGACGATGTATTCGGGGATCTATGGGGTGACTTCAAGTAACATTGATTGTGCATTGATACAGTTTGATAAATAAATGTTTGTTATACATTAGTCCCGTGATCCTTTAGTTAACTCGATATCCTGCGGCGGCATTAGTTTCGTCGGTGAAGAACCTATCTGTCTCTCACCAGCTCAATAAGATCACGTGCGATAGGGTGGAATGAACTCTTGTGTTCTTCATACTTGTCTTGTGCCATCGCCTTGTTAACAGAAAACGCCGCCCTAAATATTGGCCGACAGAACTTCATTCGACCCTTGACCATCCCATCTTCTTCGCCAACAATCCAGCCCAAAGCTGCTGTGGCATATTGTTCCGACTTGGTAGATTGGGGATCAAGCAAAGCTACTTGGTAGAACCTCAAACGAAGTTCTGCATTGGGTGAACTAACCAGCCCGTAGAGGTTACCAAGGTCATCAATATGCGCTACTGGCAAGGGGTCGAAGGACTGTAGTCGTTCAAGGAAAGCGCCTTATAAGACACAGTCAGCAACCATAACCATGAGCAATACCCGTTCTCACCGATCTGGTTGGCGTCCATCCCACTGATATCGGTGGCGCTGAACTCAGATGTATCTTTAGTTTTGCTCCACCTCTCAGCGAGCTTGTAGGATTGTTGCACGAGTGTCATGTCATATTCCATGGGCACAGGAAGGGTCACGCCCGTTCCAAAAAGCCAAGCCTACGTTGACAATCGTCAGTCGAGTGATCCGAAGGAGAATAACTCAAATACTTGCATCCCAATCAATGCTTTTAAGCGCTTCGAGCTCGTCATCTCCACCAAACCGCGTGTAATAGTCAAAAAGATGCTCCTTCCACATCTCTGTGGTAATGCTTTTACCCATGAACGTCTTGACATAATCTTTCGCGTATGGCAGGAACACATCCAAACCACCCAACGTCCGTTCTGAAAGCCCCGAAACACTGTTAACATCCTGCACGTCATTTGGACTAGATGGGCACCGACCAATGTGGAGGAGGAAATTAGCGCCTTTGTCGTATGGCACCGAGCTATAGGCGTCGTCAGGGTTCTCGCCTTTCTCGAATTCAATTTGCAATTTCTGATATTTCTTATTGCGCTGCTCATAGAGTTTGAGGTCATCATAAAGCTGCTTCGAACCGGTTAGGAAAGAGAATCCACGGTGAGCAGGGGAGTGCAGTATCTGCTGGAGGAGGCGTTCGATGTACGTCGTCCAACCTTCGTTGAGCCAAAAGTGTGAAGCATCTGCGTGTCTGCGCGAGAATGCCAGTCAAAAAGAAGTAGGAGAGGAAGGAGGATGTTCTGACGTTATACCATTCCCGAAGTAGGAGTGCGTGATCTCGTGTACGACGACATCCACTAATGTCCTATCACCAGTCAACAAAGCTAACCTCTGGTCAAAAACGCAACATGATAAGTCGTATGCACTAACTTGGCGTGACAAACGTCAAACATGCATTTTCCTGGATGTCTATCAGAATCTGACCCGAGGGATATAGAGGAACGCACCATGCCCCCATAAGGGAATGCCGGAGGCAACACCAGCAGGTCATACACGCCAAATTTATACGACATACCAACGAGTTCCTCCTCTGCAGCCAAAAACCTATGCAAAGAGTTGTCAAATATCTCATCAATTCTAATGCTCTAAAAAGAACCTTGTCGTATCTTCCTTGAATTCCCACCAGGCGTCATTGATGATGTCCGGCTCGGCCCATACTCCGCTCGTCCAGTCCTTTCCTTCGAGCTTCTCGAATGCGCGGTAGCAGAGATTTCCTGACGCAATCGCAATCAAGTAAGATGGTATGGGCACAGGCTGGGTATCAAGGAAGTCAAGGTAAAGCTGAATGATCCTGTTGAGCACCACACACCTGGTTGTAAACGTAGGTGACTTCATCCTGCCCAACAATCTTCCCATCGTGCACCGGTCCTTCCGCAGGCGGAGACACTCGAATAGCAGACATGAGTGCAGGAAGGACAGACGTGATCCTCGCTTCATATGTCTATTGAAGATCTCAGTTGCAAATCACAACTGCACCAGACCAACAATGACTGACGGCTTTCACTGATGGAGTATCTGAGTGTGTCGTACACTGTTTAAGCTGCTATGGCATATTATGCATCAAAATCTGAAACTTGCCTTGACATGGCAAAAGACCTCTTGCATAAATCGGTTGGCACTGACTGAACAAGTAAGGATGGGTCTTGCCATGAGTTTGTCTTTTAAAATATCCCAGCAGTTTGAGTGGGAATACGAAACAAGAAGTTCAATGGCTACTGACGCTTTGTCAAGCCACTGCAATGCCTTGCATCCTGGCTCCGTTGTATTGTACTCGATCGTCACTTTCACTGAAGATCCTGGCTGCAGACCTGCAGGAAGTGGAATATACAGCGCAGAGCCCATGACTTCATGTTTCTCTCCCAGGGAATACTGCAAGCTCGCCATAGCACTTTGAACTCGCACATCGAAGAAGTATATCTGCGCACCTGAGCATGGCAAGCCTCGCCCTCGACGTACACGCGCTTGATCACCACATCAGATGTATCGAAACTATATACATAAGTACTCCCCGCACAACATGGACAGGTAATTTGAAACACACATGACCTCCTTTAAATCGCTTGTATGCACGGTAAGCTCGTGTGTGATAGAGCCTTTGATCACTTTCTCATGGAAATCAATCGACCAGTCGAGGGAAAAATGTTTCGTGCTGATCTGACGATAGTTCGATTGAGAGGTTGGATCAGTAGTTTCGGAACTCATCAGAATTGTTGCCGCAGCCGCGTTGTGGTAGTAGTAAGCGAGAGAGGTGGAGACAGCTTCCTATCCAAGCACCCTTGCGAGAATGTCTTTAATGACCGTTGCCTCGAAGCTCACGTAGCGTTAACCGAATGGATTAATGTAAGTCGGACGAGAACAAAGGCTAGAAGCCTGCAGTCCGGGCTGCATTAGGCAGGCAAACAGCGCTTCGTAGTACCTCAACTTCGATAAAGTGTTCCAGTTTTCTGTTTCGATCGAAGTCCGACGGTGGCGCCAATGTGCTATGTAGTACTATCGCGACTAACTTTCCTTCACATTTCGATGCAGTCACAGGTTTGGGATACGCGAAGCTAACGAAGGTTTGTTATGATAAGATGACACAAACAGTTGGGATACACCATTAGGCAGACATTAACTATAGAGTCCTTCACAAGGCGACTAAAAAGTACATGGAAGTCTCGTGTAACAACGTCCACAACAAAGAGAAACATTAAATGGACTGACAAGCTGGGTATTGTATGTATTCGCAGAAACCGCATAAAACCGTGAGGTGAATATCGTCCTTGCAAGCTCAAAGCGAGGCAATTTGTGACCGAGGAGACCAATATAGTCGGTCGTTAGTTGTCTGTGAACAGGCCCAGCGCTTCCTCATGTGCTTCTAGAAACAAGGCCTCAGCGTTTGCATCATCGAATCATGGAGGAGCAAACCTTGGGAAACTGAATGTCTGAACTATCTGGACAGGAATCTTCATCGTCAGTCTCTCCGAGTTTGCGCTTCCTGGCTGGAATTTTGATACGAAGACCAGAGTGAACAATGTCAATCTAGTGCAGGAAGTTAGTGTGCTAAAGGAACATATGGTTTAGAGGACTCACGGGTGTTAAGAGAGGGGTGGAATAAGCGGAAGAAGCTGAAGATGGTCATTTAGTCATAAAAATGCAAGTATCTTTTGAGAGCCTACATGAACGTGAAGAGCACATTTCATCCATCTCACACTCCGGTAATTCCTTGGTCCGGATGAGTGGCGCGCCCGGAGCAGATATGTCACAGTGTTCATGGCGGTACATATTGTCATGAAGGCCAGCAAGTGGTGGAATCCGAATAACAAGACGCTTGCGGGGTTGGTCATAGGCATCAGGGGGAGATACGACGATGTCTGGAATCTCCAAGCCAAGTTCGTTGCGGACATTGCCAACAAGTGCAAATGGTGAAAGCATAAGCGGTGATGGACTGGGAGTCGTATCAAGGACAGGCAGGGGCCTGACTGAAATCGCAGTCGAAGGACAACCTTTAGCCTTTGCTATATCAATGCGCAAGCCAGACCAGAAGGCACGTCGCTGTGCGTGATGCGTGCGCGTGATTGTTATGCGACAACGCAGTTGACAAGCGATCTGGCCGTAACGCGCGTTGGCGTACCGGAGCCTGCAAGCGAGGTCGGAGAGAGCTGCGTCAGAGAGAGCGGTATGGGAAGACATCATATAAGATGGCGTTATTTCAATAGAAGATCAGAACACAATGAATGGCGCGTGATGGTAGAAGTGAAAATGATGAGCGTTTGACGTATCGGTGAACGTGAAAAGAAGGTACAGAAATAGTAAAGTAGCAGTCCAGTAGCACGCCTGCGTGCAGGATGAAAAACAGGGAAAGTAAGGATTACGAAGAGGGTCCGAGATTTCATGGAGGAAGAAAGGCGTTCATATATATGCGGTGTCTGAGTCCAGGGGCTCATACGTCAGATTAGCTTGGACTCGGCGTAGAAGAACAAAGAAGTGCCACTCGTTTGATGTCCCTTTATTGTCATCTTCGGTGATATCGAGACGGGTCAAAGCAAGCCATTCGAACGTGCCATCAGATCATCATCGATGATCATTAACTAGCCGGGCTTTCTTCAGTGATAGTTACGTCGGACGTCGACGGTAAAAACAAAGCAATCGTCAAGGTCCGGCAACTTGCATCGATACAGTGTGGGCGTAGAAATGAATGAATGTTGGGACCGTCGTCGGTGTGGGCGCTAACAAAAAGGTCTTGTTCTAAAACTGGTGAAAGTCGTTATTGCACCCGACGCGACGCGATGCCGTGCCATGCTTTGTCCAAACCGATAGTAAGTTAGCTTCCATATCATTTACAGCTTTTTAGTAAAAGTCCATCAAACTATAAATCGCGATCTTATGCCGACTCTCGCACATAAAATTGGTGAGATGATGGACTGAACTCACATCCGAAACAGAAAAAGTGACCAACTTCTAGGCTCCCTCATCTTTTGCCCTCATTGTGGCACTCTCCTCAGTCCTCCAAGAGATGACGAGAAAACAGTCATCTGCGAACAATGCAGCTATGAGGAGCCAGCATCATGTGTGTACTCTCTGAGCCACACAGATCATCATCTTGATCTACCGCAGCTTATGAGAATATTGAGATCACCACTCGGTCACATCCTGAAGCATTCCCTTCAGCGCTGAGACAGAAGCGCAAAACCCAAACGAAGGTTCATCAGGGTAAAGTTTTACCAAAGGTGACCAGCATCAATGTATTGGAGATATCAAGCTTTCCTCACACCACCAACAGGTGTCAGAAAAATGCCCGGCTTGCGGTCATCTGGAAGCCTATTACGAAGAGAAACAGGCAAGGAAGACTGTTAATACCGTCTGTGCTAAAAACTGAGCTGACCACGATTGCAGATGCGCAGTGCCGATGAAGGTTCAACAATTTTATACACAGTACGTCACCCCCCTCATTCATTGTCCCCGTCTCATTCATTGTTGTTCAGTGTGTCTCTTGCAAACACGGCTGGCGTGTCAACAATTAGTGTAAATGTTTTAGGTGGGGGTATCCAACGGTCGATTGGAACTACTAGGACACGAACATCCCTACACGTTCACTCCAGCACTACAGAACAGGGCGACAACTCCGAAACCACCGAGGACACTTGCTAATGATGCCACCGCGGTCTCGCGTAGTGGAAACGTGTCTTTTGGAAGGCTGTGGACATGGGTATAGGAACACGTATTACAGAAGTTTAGAGCGGCGACTTACGTTGAAAAGTAGAATGCAAGAACGAACGTTGATGCCAAGAGGATTAGAGCTATAGACGGCAGAAGTGACGCGGGCACATAAGGTGAGAATGGAGGCAGTGAATTATGTAGGGCCTGCTCAGCGTGGTTGAGACGTGTCCGAATCTGATTCAGATTATACGGTGGATATCAAGGACATACCTGAATTGCCTCGTAATTGTCCATGACTGCAGCAGACGTTAAGCACGAGTTGTGAAAGAATCTGAAACGGAGAGCAAGCGCTGCTGCGGAGATTGCTGGTGGATGCACCAATATATGATTCTGGGCCACGGAAACTTGAGGCAAGCTGACGTATTGTGGCCGCCAAACACATGTCATCAAACCCATATCAACGACGTATCCGCCCCAACTTTCTTTCTTTCTTACCACCGTCTTGACTGCTACCTAATCAGTTTCCTCAGTACATATTCCACGCCCCCTTGAGGTCAGTCGTGTTAATTTAGATATCCTTATTTCTGGCTTTGACAAGAAAACTGTCTATTGTCCCTACTCTGCAGATGTCCGCGACACAAAAGGTTCAGCAGCACCCTGCTTTCATCCAGGCGCAGAATAAGGCAAATTATTACTTCCAACAGCTCGACAAGGAAGTTAGTAACAGATTCTTGGCTAAATTCTTTCAACTAACATAAGCCCCTCAACAGCTCACGAAGTATCCAGTGTTGAACACATTTGAGCAGCGAACTCAGATTCCAAAGACATATTTTGTCAGCTGCACGGTCCTTCTCCTCACCCTTTTCCACTTTGTCAACCCTCTCGCCGCGCCTGTCTCTAACCTCGTTGGATGGGGCCTTCCGTCCTACCTCTCCTTCAAGGCGCTGGAGAGCCCCGGGCATCAGGATGACGTTCAGTGGCTCACGTATTGGGTTGTCTTTGGTTTCTTTAACTTCCTCGAGAGCATTGCACTCAGAATGGTTCTCTACTACTTCCCGTGGTACTTTGCATTCAAGACAGTGTTCATCCTCTGGCTGCAGCTCCCAACCTTCCGTGTAAGTCGCGAGATAGAATGCGTTTCAAGATACAGGAGATTGATGTCTTCTTTTAGGGCGCACAAACGATTTACGGCGTTGTGTTGAAGCCTGTCGTGTCAAACTTGGCCGGCTCGCGTGCTGTAGCGCACACCGATACGGTGACGGCTGAGGGTGTCCGTGACCGCGGTAATTCAGAGTGATTTCGGACACGCCCCCTCGCTATCGTCGGCTCTCGTTTCGGTCTGTGTATGTAGTTCGGCTTGGATGGTCATAGACACTATCATACGCCCCCTTTCCATTATCCATGCTTTTGCTCAAGCCTGAGGAGTAATTCGTTTTACGTTTCGATATGTTCTAGTTCACGTATCTCTTCAAACCATTATTGAGCTTTTTTTACGCCACATCATACAAGCGTCGCGACGCGCGCGTGGAGGGTGGCTGTTGCGCTCTGATTGGATGTTACTTCTGTTATGGAAAGTCACCAGGTTTCAGATCTCAGCGTACTCGGAACCGACCGAGCGCCTAGATCTGTCAACGCCAGTGAATTGATTGTGAATTGTGAGAGAAGATGATCTCAATCGGTGACTTGACGACTGGCAGTTGTTTTCTATTCTTACTAGAGCTCATGTGATGTTCATAGGTGCCGAGCGTGGGTTTCATTCACCAACGATGTTATCTGCTAGCTCAGTACTGATCATGACGCTCACCGTGTTGTGCGAACTAGTAGTACTGGGGTCAAGTACTGGTAGCAATGTGGCACTGTTAGGCACGCTCTCCTGTATACTGCTCCAACATTTATTAACGTTTATCTTGAAGTTCTGAAACTACTAAGGTTGAACGCCGTTCTCTGATGTCGAGCCTCGCTCGGCCTGTCAGTGAAAGGATGACATGTAGTGCCTGCTGACTCTGCGGCGGTGAGTTTCGATACCTGTTTATGTACACTCACTGGCACCTGCTCAGACGTGTTCGTTTCGGTATATGACCTCTCAAGCTGTCGGCGTATTCCGATTTGGAATATTGAAATAGATTTATGGTAATTTTGGCGGTCCCGTTTTTTTGATTGCTCCTGAAATGCGCTTTTACGTGCATATGTGGTGAGATGTCGTACCACAGCCTTCCTTCGCGCACTGCCCTTGTAGGCGCATGTATACATTTGTGTGCAGTCAAGCTATTGTGCCAGCAGGTTACGGGTTCGCGATTGCCCGGATTTGTGAACCTGGTCTTGTTCTGCTAGTAATTTTTCTCTTAGCGACGTATTTGTGTCTGCTGAAGTGGCCTTGTATTTCTGCAGGAATTCGTATGCGATGCTTTTGTGTTGAGATAGGCACCCACTGAGGCATCGCATCGATTCTTGGGTCATATGGGGCCTTCCTTGCCGCAGTATGGGGCTGACACCTGTGCCCGCCCTTAAGGTGCTCAACAGTACAAAAGCTTCTCCTGTAGACATTTCACTCTTCAACAATTTCAATTCTTCCATCATGCATTGCGATGATTGTTCCAGTCGCAGTGGCGGCTTATGTGGTTGGTTACGCAACTCTTCCTTCTGCCGCACAAAGCAAAGAAGTCGAAGTGTGAGTCATGACATTCGCACCACGCCTGGTAAGTCGTTCTCTGATTTCTGTACATTATTGTAACTGGATGCATTTGTATGATCTAGGATCAGTCCCTCCATGGCGAAATGGCTTTCTACCACGGTATCCATATCGGGTGCCTGCCTGGGCCGACGCAAGCAGAGTTATCATGCCTGCGCTGCCAGCCAGACAACCTGATCACAATGTGTGGTCTTATCCAGCTGGAAATCTAACCTGGTCTCCACACATGAATGGACTGAGCTATTTACCCGGGACTGTTCCGTGGACTCCTGCAACACTGTTTGCTGTATCATGGCCCCAGATAGTCGATGAACGCCCGAAGATTGTACCCTGCCTCGCTACAAATCCTTTCCAACCAGACATGCCTCTGCTTCAGTGGGATATCCGCCAGAACCCAATTACAGCTAGGCTAACAACAGGCGCACATATTTCCATGGATCTGGCACAAGCTCTGAGTTCTGAAGTCACGGATATCCCGGTTGGCATTATCGAGATTGCCATCCCAGCTTGTCCCACGGCGTACATGTGGGATGCCATCAGGGTGCAAAGGACGAGCGCCATCAAGGTCCAAGACGTTCTCGATGCCATCTACAACTGGCTACAGACACCTCTTACTCTAGCTGAGATGGAGCACATCGGATGTGTATACCCAGACGGTGGCGATGCAATTGTGCGGGCTTTACAAGAGAGAGCTTCTGCGAGTCCGACGTTACATGGCTGGGAACAACGACAAGGACCGCGGCGTATAGACTGTTTAGGAGAAGTTCGTAGATGGATGGGATTGAGCTACGCTCCTACGGGGCAGGGCATGCAACTGTTTCTCAACCTTCAAACCGTATATCGATGTTAATTTTTTATTGTATCTTCGCTTGATACCCCAGTGATACCCATGACAACTTTACGAGCTCAGTAATATTCTCGTGTTCACGCACTCACGCACCTACTACGTTCTTGATATTTAGGTCTATTTGTTTATTTGTATCCTTAATCGTAACCGAACCGATATACTGCCTGCACTGCATTCAACAACATACTTCTGTGACATCACATCGATATATTGGAAGACCCAATTCGCGATATTACGAGCTGGCAAACACAGGATCTGACACTGCTGCACTGCGCGTTTTCCAAGAATTCCGATGGCTTAAAGTTGGCTGAGAATCTGGGTCCCAAGGTTTCAGCCACATCGAATCCATCAAATACCAACCAACTATTACTATGATGTCGGGATTCTTAAAATTACCAACGTATGGTGTCGACAATGGCTCAAACTCACAGGTACCCTCACCTAAGTTCTATCCACCTTCCAGCAGTTTTCACCTTCAACTCGACCTTTAAATTAGGTGAAGGTACATACTCGCATAATACGATAGCGGCACCAATACCCACAGGTCTTTCATCGCTTACTGATATTTTATGAGCCCCAAAGTTATATCCATAAACAATCACAAGTCTGAAACGACGTGGCAAGTATTGGTTATTCAACGGTAAGCACTATACATACTCAAGCTTGCTGCGATGTGCTCGTGTTACTCCGCGAACCCATTTAGACTACTCCACGGAAAAGGTCTAGAAAGTCTTGTGGCAAGAACCGGGATGAACCAATTATCCAGGCTACGCATGGTTTATCGCTAGCTCCTTCAAATTGTCACAGTGACTACCGAGCTGATGCGGATCATGATTCATGATTCATCAAAGCACGGGCCGCTTCCACCAGATTCGACAATTGAATTGCGTACTTTTGTAAGTCTTCAAGTGAAAGAAGAAATTTTTTTGTATCTTCCCCATTTGCTGCAGCTGTCTGATGACTGTTTCAATAAACGTAACTCAAGTTGTAGGTCTCGTATGCGAGGCGCTTTTGTATGGTGCGTGATGTGCTTTCTGAGTGATTCAGGTCCATCGCTGACATCATTGCGTAGGAGTCTACTGCGTGCTATTCATCATCTCTGTCGTAATCCTCATCAGACGCCGTCGAGTGTCTAACCGAGTGATTTGGATTGCAAACTGCCTCCTATTTGCAACATCGACGGCTCATTTTGCGTTGATGTTCAACCACTTGTATATCGCACTCGTGAGGAATACGCAAGAGACTCATGATGAAGTTAAGACTCATATTGCTACAGGAAAACGCGCCGTTCTCGGATTTTGGAAACGAAACTTATGAATTAATGGGAGCAAATTTGATGATTTCTGTGGTCGACCTCATTGGAGACTTGCTTCTACTCTATCGATGCTGGCTTGTCTGGGAGAAGAATTTCTATATGATTGTTCTTCCTCTGCTCACCGCTCTTGGGGGATTTGGTAAATCATCATCAGTCTCTTCTTTGGTCGAAAACGCTCACCTTCACCCTCGTTGTGCCAGGGTGTATCCTCCCCATACCATCTCTTCTATTGTCAATCGACCCGACATCACCAACTCCTCCAACTAAGCTCGTACCCTTCGCTATTGCTGGATATACTTTACCTCTTTGCACAAATGTCATGGTCACTGGGCTCATCGCTGGTCGCCTTTGGTACATATCTCGCATTCCTATCGTCGATGAGCATGGAAAGCCAGTGACCTTGAAAATCGCAGCTGGCGGGCGCTCGATGATGCTAATCATCGAAAGCGGTGCTCTGTATATGGTCACACAATTCATCTTTGTCGTTCTCGTGGCCACTCGAAATCCTGCCGAGGCGATATTAAGTCTGGCTGGGACACAGATATATGTAAGTCATTGTGCTTTCTAGTTTGTGGTCAAGCTCAATCGACATATGCGTATGAGGGTATCGCGTCCACCTTGATCATAATTCGTGTTGGGCTTGGCATTTCGTCTGAGCAGACTACTATGTCGACGATAACTCAAGTAGAGTTTCGTTCCCAACGACAAGACACGGGGATGCGCTCAGTTGGCACGTGGAGAAATGATCACTCCTTTAGCTCTCCATTAGCTGCACAATTGGGCGTGGAACAGTGGTCATCGGGTCCGCCTTTGAATCCTTGATCACTATTTTCATATCGATAGACCAGAATCTCAAAAAGTTCACTTAGCCGCTTTTGTTTATTATTGGAGCGACACTCGCTCCATAGTGCTAGTTGCTTTTTTAACTTGTACGTCAACATGACTTGTGGGGCTTGTGCGGGGCGGACCCGGGCGGTACTAATGTAGTGACGAGACCTTAGAATCCCACTGCGCGGGCACTGATCTGCGACCAGCTGTACATGGTGATGGTAGTACTACACTACACTACTATTACCAACTGTAGGTAATCTTCAGAATCATTGCCAAGCAACGAAGCCCTCGTGCAAGACAAAAAGTAAGTCGTGCTTGTGTGGCCTTCGACGTCATGTTGCGTGCGGACACGGCAACCCACTGCTGTTTCGCAGCATCTGGTATATGTCGATGGTTTCCGTGCATGGTGGTAACGGTCGGCGCTCGGCGATCGTTGTACCACTACTCGCCAAGTTATGATGATGACTAACAAAAGTAGCTAGTAGCATGAGCGCCTCTAACTGTTTGGTGTTACTGCAACAATAAAAACGCGGCTAAGTGATTCTAGTATCGATATGAAATAACAAGAAGGGAAGACAGGAAGCCAGTTGTTTGTTTCGCTCTAAAGCTAAACAACGTTGGTGAGCGGGTAAAATGGAATGTATAAACTTGAAAGTGATGGAAGCTTCGAAGCCTTGGCTATGTACGTAATCAAGTCGCTTAGGCATAGCACTAATACGCACCCTCAAGACTAGTGTCGCGTAGGCCGGTTAGCACAATGGCAGAACCTCTAGGCTATGAAATAACATCATCCCATCTGTCATCGACATCCTCACCCACCTCGACCTCATTTAGAATAGCCTGTGGAATTACTCCTTGTTTCAACCAATCCAACTCGCCAAAATCAAAAGCATCTCCCTCGAGCCATTTAACTTCGTTCGTTCTTCGGTCCTCTTCAACTCTTTGAGAGCTGTGACTTCAGCAGCAGCAGCATCAGGTCAGGCGAGATACTGTCTGGACAGCAAGAAGGTCATCTGCATCACGAGGTTCGGTCAAGAGCGGAGATGTCCATGCGAAAGATGCTGTGTAATCATCTTGATTCTCGACAGCGAATTGGTAATACCGACTTCTTCATGAGTGCGCATGTGCGCATGTCGACGGCGGACTTTCCAGCCTCTGCGGCTTTTACGGTGTTGTCGAAGGCCTGAGGTTCGCACGAATCTCGCTATGCTTCAAATATGTATTGCATTGTCGCACGGTTTGTGTTATGCCGAGATCGTGCTCCTGCATACCCTACGATCGTCAGGGCAAAGACAAGTGGATAAAACTTTGGAATTGATTGGAACAGTGATGCGGGGGGCGTCCTCCTTTTTACTTTAGGGACGTCGGTTCTTATATTTTGTCGAATTCAAAGTGTGTCATCAGACCTAAATTACGTCTCCGTGAGTCTCATGATCAGCTACCCTGGAGTTCTGCCAGGTTCTACCACCCTCCCTTCGCATGAGTTCTGCCGTGGACTAGGCACTGAGGCACAACCAGTTTTGCCAGACCGGTTGGCAACACTCCCGAGTTCTGCCAACAACACTATCCAGGACCAAGACCCGACCGAAGGCTAATAATCTGCGTCAATAACGACTTCAAAAAGCTACTATTTGACCGACTCACGGAGCCCTATTATGCCCATTAGCTAAATCACGTCAGTGCTTCAAAGGTTTTTGCTAGATATGGTTCTATTTCAATTGCAACAGGATGTCTTGCCTCTTCAGCCCTCTTCTCCCTCCCAACTTGTTATGAGCATCTCAGTAAATGTCTCTGCAGCTGTAGGTACGGCATGCGAGGCGTTTTTGTACGGTGCGCGATTCCCTGCTGTCAGTTCTCGGATCAGTGATCAACTTACATCATCATGCAGGAGTCTACTGCGCGTTATTTATTATCTCTATCGTAATTCTCATCACACGATATCGAGTATCCAATCGAGTAATATGGGTTGCGAACTGCCTCCTCTTTATGACATCGACGGCTCATTTTGTATTGGTGTTCACCCATTTCTACATTGCACTCGTGAGGAATAATAGTTCATGATGCTAATGAAGGCTCACATTGGCACAGGACCATGCTCCGTTCTCAGATTTCGGAAACGAAACTCCTGCACTAATGGCAGCCAATTTACTGAGTTCTGTTGCTGATTTAGTTGGAGATTTACTCCTACTCTATCGATGCTGGTTTGTCTGGGGGAAGAATTTCTATGTGATTATTCTCCCTCTGCTCACTGCTCTTGGGGGATTTGGTAAATCTTCATCAGTCTTCTTTTTAGACGAAACCGCTTATCTGCACCTTCCATGTGCCAGGGTGCATTTTGCCCATCCCATCCCTTGTATTGTCAATTGACCCGACATCACCAGTTCCTCCGACTGGTATCGTACCCTTGACTATTGCCGGATATGTTTTGCCTCTTTGCACAAATATCATGGTCACCGGGCTCATCGCCGGTCGCCTCTGGAACATATCTCGCATTCCCACCATCGACGAGCATGGAAAGCCGGTGATTTTAAAAATCACGACTGGCGGACGCCCGATGATGCTCATCATCGAAAGCGGTGCTCTGTATACGGTCACGCAACTCATTTATGTCGTTCTCGTGGCCATTCGAAATCCTGCCGAGGCGATATTAAGTTATGCTGGGACACAGGTATATGTGAGTCCTCGTACATTCTGGTTCGTGGTTCAGCTAAATATACATGTGTGCATCAGGGAATTGCGTCCACATTAATTATTATTCGTGTTGGGCTGGGCAGTTCGCTTGAGCAGACTGCACCGACGACTTCGAGTAACCTGATATTTTGGTCCCAGTCATAGGGTACCACAGGTGGTGCGCTCAGTTGGCGCATGGAGAAACAATCATTCATTCGATTCGCCATCGACTGCATATTTAGTGCAGAGTTGGGTTAAAGTTGAATCCTGGATCGTTGGAAGATAAATATAAGTATTCGAGACATGTACAATGACCAAGGTGCTTGCCATTTGGAAATAACAATGATGTAAAATTGGTTCGACAAGTAGTAAGTGATTGAGATGGTCTTCCAAAAACGCTTGTAGCTTTGTTCGTTATGGCTAGGGCCTCCGAAGTTCGGACACACTGTTACGAAGGCTCCAAGGCTAATAATAGTTCTGCATCACGAAGCTCGGTGTAAAAATTACCGTTAAAAAAAACACCTGCCGCGAGGGTGCGTCACGGGCGTCTATAGGAAGAGAAGATCATTCAGTAGTGTAATCAAGGCTTTGACAGTCTGTACACTCAGTGAAGACTAGCTGTATTTAAGCCCGGGCGTACGGTAGTCTAGAAGTGTCCAAACGCTCCTGACACGTGGCATTAAATTGAGAGGCTAGCAAGACACTATCAACCTTGAAAAAAGCCTTGACCCAAATAAGCTGCATTGTACGAGTTTCAAACAATCGTAACACTCAATACACCATTGTCCTCGAATGGAATCAAGGCCAAGAGGGTCGACAAACAAATGCCCTAATACAATCTGTCAAAATACAAGTGAAATTAACTCATCAGATCGGAAAATTGGAAGACGACTATAACTCAAGTTAGCGTTAAAGTCTTTTGAAATGCCAGTTCGGGTCCTGCTAGATCGCAAATGACGTCTGAAAGGAAAATTCCTTAAGTTTGAAGATCATTCAATCATTCAATTTCCGCGACTATAACACAAGTTCGGCGTAAGCTCCGAGTCATGAGCGTCGATGACGAGAAAAGTTTGGTACGCACGTTGTACCGTGAAAATTTCCAAAGAGTGCCTTTCCTTGCTTACTAGCGCTTAGTGCTAGAATCCATGTAATGATTCGTATTCTGGCAGCTGTGCTAAGACTGGTAAAGTGAAATTAGGCTGAGATATCAGATTCAGAGACTAGAAAACTGGGAGTCGTCGATAATGATCATAGATACCCGGTACCGCCCGAGGGTCCAGAAGGTGATGATGGTGGCTCCGAGTGTGAGGCTGGCCAATAGCCTGAGGTGCTGGGACCAATCAAATGGTAAATAAATGTTCTTCTGGAGTGCTTCGGCTCCTCAATATTAAAATGTTGACCGTGACAAAAACAAAGTAAGTAAGAACTCAATGTGAACTTTATGACAAGACCTCGAAAACCTCGTCAGCTGAAATTTTCTTCTGACTTACCCGAGTAGTAGGACTCGGAACAGCGGCGACAACGTGACTAACCTCAGGCAAACAGGGCAGGTTGACCGTGGCGCTCGTTAACGCCAACATTGTGAACGGTAATGACATGTCGTCTACACGATATATCGTCGCCACCTAAACCTTAACCTACGAATCGGGTTGTTCATTACATATCTTTTTACTCTTCAGAACATAACATACTGTCTTATCAGTCCATGCATATGCGCCCTCGCACCGCAACTCCACTCGTTCCCTGCCCTCATCCTTATCCGGTGAGTGAAAGCGCACTTCTAGTGCCCATGTCCACCGTCGTTCTCCGCCAATGCCCGCTTCCCACCGACAACGCCGCCATATATTCCAAAATACGAGCCTGTGTCGGTACCACCACCATCAAACAGACTTGGACCTGTTGTCCACGTCATTAAAGTTGTACGAGCTTTCGTAAGAAAAAACATATCTCCTTATCTTGCGTATTGTCGGAGAGTGACCAAATTTGAACCGGCTTACGGGTTAGATGCACTCCCATGTCTTCCTGACCCCGGCGGGGCGGGAGGTCTGGTGCGGCGTGAAGACAGCGCTGAGGTTGGGCCTAGCGCGTAGGGCGCAGGTTGGAGGTTGTAGGTGTTGTGCTTAACCTTATACATGACCTTACCGAGCGGTGCTGGAGGTCTCGACCTCTGAGGTAATGCACATACCTTGACATTTAGAAGCCGATTAGTACTTTGGAAGGTAATCTGCCTCGTGTTTTAGGTTGACGACTATTCGCCCCGATCAACTCAGCCAGCCCATCGACTATTTTCATGGCTTGCTTCTTTGTATTACGCGTCGCTCACCCTGTATTCGACCATCTATTCAAAGTACTACTCCAGTGCAGCTATTGCTGTAGTTCCCCGCTTAAGTATCATAGTAGACGCCCATCAAGTTAAGCGATATTTCCGACGAGAAGGTTCATCTCGAATTACGAAGTTACTACTAGTAGCAGTACGTATTGTATATTACATTAGTTCTCGAACGGGTAAGGCTCCTACAACCCTGACTTCACGTTCTGCGAGGAATGCCTTGACTCTGTCCACCTCGCCGATCTTTATTATTTTAATTGTCTGTCCAACTCTTTCAAACACTCACTCAGTCACTCCTTCGATTAGAATGTTCTGTACCCGCAGGCCGCCAACTCTATCCATAAATGAGTTAAATCATATTCTCAGCGAGTCTCTTGACATAGAAAGACTTGAAAACGTTAACGTTTCCGACACTATCCTTCACGATACACTCCCTTCGACCCCGGAAAAACAAAAAACCTCAACGTTTCACCGCTTGTTCTCCCGCTCATCGTCACATCTACCTCTCGTTCCACGTTCGCCCATACTAAAACACCTAGACGAGCCTGTCACACCGAGTCCCCGCAAGATGGCATTTACCTGGCGTTTATCACGCTTATCTCCCCATAGGTCTCGTAGAGCTGATGATCATACAGTGCGTATATGACTCTGTACTCTAACACTCATATTCATGTTACGCAGGTGGAAGACATCCCAAGTGTCTCATTAAATCGTTCTCGCTCGTCATCTGGATGCAGTGTCACTTCTGCCATTTTATCACCTTCGAGAGCACTGACTAGCATGTCTTCGACATCTAGTCTTGGTTCGGTGATACCTACGTCTGAGCGTTTCTCCAAGTGTCTCGCAGAATGCATGGAGACGGGAAATGTGGCCCTCAGTACAAGGAGATCCCCCTCACCAACACATTCTCGGCTTTCTCCGATACAAACGGCTCACTTTCCACCCACACCGCGTTCACCCCTGCAGCTCCTATTTGGTAATAAATCATCATCGAGTAATACATGCAAAGGCGCAACGACAAGTACGGATGCCACGGAAATGGGGTCGGGTACCCCAGTAACCGAATGCAATGTCGTCGAATCTATCGATGATAATGTCACACCTCGAGCGACTGGATTCACCACTTTATCGCATAGAAGTAGTGATAGTACTGTCCAGGCTAAAACAAGACGACGGCCCTCAGCATTGACACTGGTTCTTCCTCCTCAAGAGATTGCATCCCTCTGCCTTCAACCAGCGGTCGGAGCATCACCTCATGTACCCTCTGATACTGAAGGTTCTATCTCTACGTGCTCCCTCCCATCTCCTACTTCATCCATACCTACATCATGCCAGCTTTCATCCTACGTTCCTTCGGCCTCATCTAGCGCACCTAGATCGTCTACCTCAACGACTTCGTCTTTTCCCTGGTCTCGTGCACGGGCTGGCTCCCGTTCCATGCTGACACCGCCATTGCCGGGACCTCCACCCAGTAGCCCCCTTCCTCCACTACCCGCTTTAACGGCACGAAATTCGGATGTTACCACGCCCCTCAACGCCCCAGTTCCTCTTCCAACGACCAACCCGACTTCCTCAAAACGTGCTCGTACTCCTGTGCGTACTGACTCGCCTTCGGGCACAGTTGTGATTCCTCCTTCTCCTGGAAGCCTGCGACTTCCTTCTCGTTTAAGCTGGGGTGCTACAGGACGCATCGTGATTCCTCTTCCCTCGAGTCTACCAAGTCCGCCTTCCTCCCCTTCGAAGGTAGGGGGGAAAAGAGAACTTTCTCCGTGTTCACCCACCAATAAGAGCATGTCCAATGCCAATTCCCCTATCCTGGACAAGCGTGCGAGTGTTGGGATATTAGAGGCTGCCGATGATTTGGAAGCTCAAGTACGACTCATGAAGAGCATACTGGTACCAAGCACTCGGCGTTCAAAAGGGACACTCAGCTGTTCCAATTCACCTCAAAAACGCGTGCAGATTCATACTGAGGCAAACTCCGAACCTGCAAGCCCATCAAAGAAAGCAAGGAGGAAGTCAAGTGCTGTCTCCACAATACCGTTTCTAACAGTTCCGCGGGAGCGGAGAAGATCTGCTCCCTTACTGCGAAGTGGAGCCATACCGAAGGCTACACTTATCCCTCCTGCATGTGCAGACTGGACATTGTCGCTGCCTTTCTGCATCGATGTACCAGGGAGTGGCATATGTGTGCCAACGCCTCCTTCAGAGGACGGTGCCCTTCATGAAGCCGATAAAGCTCTACAAGTAGCACAATGGGATGACTGGACCCTATCCCTCGGTGCAGATCGCCAGAAACTCACAAAGGTTTTGGAATGTGTGGTGAACCAGAATTTGGAGGCTAAGGACGGCGCAGAAAAACCATGTGCTGTTACTGCACAGCTTCCTACGCCGAGTACTACACCTGAGCCTGGGGATAACCTTCCAGCAGCATCTCTACCTTCCCTCTTTACGCCTTTTGCCCGGTCAGATTCTCCTGCGAGCCTCGGTCCTCACGGTGGTGGCCTTGATCTTGATGGAGGGTGTGGGAAGCGAGGTTCTGGTTGGGATGTTTGCGGGTGGTTTGGACTCAGCAGCATGTACGAACCCCAAACTGAGACCATAAGACCTGTCTCTTCGCTTCACTCGGAAGCTTCGTGGATGCGCCAGAGCTGCGACACTGATGCTTCCTGGGGGGGTGATGTTGATCACGATTTCACCCGAAGGAGCCACAAGGAGTCCCCGAGCGAGGATAGCACCACAACAACGGACACCCTGTTCTACAGTGCTCGCACCAGCATGCTTGTCAGATGATGGTTTTATGGGACGTTCCAATTGTTGTCTCCTTGACATTGTGGATCTCTCCCAAAAGTACGTCTCCACCATTAATTTCTCCACCAAGTCCGCACACCATGAACACCCCAATGGGATCCCGGCCTTGAGGTTCCCAACTACATCTTTGTATCTCATACATATGCATATCCGGGTCTTGGTGATATATCTCAGGATGCTGTTGTATCTACTGTACAATACTTGCGAAAGCTGTGCTGTCGAATGATTCGGAAGACGTACTTAGCCTATCTTATATCTCATATCTTCTAGATACTTATTTAAATACGTAGTATGACCCTTAAATATGAAACCGCAGGGCGTTGTTTTCCACTCAGTTTCCGCGGTGGCCTCATGTATCCGCAAAAGTATTGACCTCGTGTAAATTCCGAGTCGGACGAGCTCATCACCAATGCAAAATTACAAATCTGAGCGCTGAGCCACTGATACAGTGGCAGTCCTTCGGGTTTGTCTGCCCGATAATATTATCCTGCTATTAGGGCTGACTCGAAAGAGGATTAGCACGCAACCTTTAGTTGCACTTCACTTATGGGGTTACTGGGGCAGTTTAATTATAGGTGTCACTGAAATTAAATTAAATAAATGAAATAGAAAGAAAAAAAAGAGATTGAGAACGTTCATTGATTCAACCATGAACGGAACCAAAGTTTGAAAACGGACCCGTAAATGACTCGCGTCGCAACCGCCGGAGAGTCCTGTAATGCCCGCGCCGATGGATGAGCAGAGTCGTCTCGAATGATACAACATTACTGTGGCAATAGCCTCCTCGGTGATCAGAACTCGGTCTTGGATGCCCTAGCGGTGGTCGGTCATATGGTCATCATATCTGGATAACGGCCCACCTTGAACCGGGCACAATATTAGAACCGCAGCAGACACATTAATGACACTGCTTGAACGAATATTTGCGGCGGCGAAGCGTCGAATTTTGTGAGTGACAAGACTAGCGTCTTGAATCCATCTTCCTTGTGCTCAGGTACCGATACAGAGCTTGGTTCCTCGTGCGCTTTGTTGCGATGCACCGCGTTAGCAACGTCCGCTTTTAGAGAAATGATGGACTTGAGGATATTGGCAGTATCTGTCTTCTCGCTTGGCTTGCACAGCCGCTGGCGCTGGTGGTGGCAAATGCCGCAAATCGTGGTGTTCGTTCGAGATGCAAATGAAAGTGAGTATCCGATAGATGCATTGATGATCGGCATGAGGTTGTATCTGACGCGCGGTAGTGCATTTACCCATCCGGACTGGCGGCGGTCAACGAAATATCGTAAAGCTTGGTTGATAGTCCTGTTCGTTCGTTCACGATATGCCGACCTTAACCGTGTCCACATGCTAGCGTGCCACTCGCTCCTTCTTCGTCCATTTAGTGACAAGTTGGCAACTAGATAGACTCAATTGTACTTTCAAACCTACTCAACGAATTGAAGACACTCCTCGAAAGAAGTACTAGGGGTGGTTGAAGCAGAGCCTGGCAGAGGAAAGGAGAGTAGCTAGTCAATTCGAGTTAAGGTGATGTGGGATTACCGCCTTTACATCTACCAGTTATTTCTAACGATGTCATCACAGCCGTGCTCCCTTTCACCTTCGCACACTGAATCTCGCAGACGTGACACTCCAGTTGGTGAACCAACTTTCCTTTTCTTGTCTCATCTTCACTAACATCATCTGCACCAACTTCCTCTCTTACCTCGTCCTCACAAACACCACTCCACTCGTTACGTCATCTCGACTAGTGTCACTCAAACCGACACCTGTATCACCACAACTCTTTTCTCACAGCATATCGTGTTCTCTCCTCCTTACGCCAAAATCAAGTACGGCGTCTCTACAAAGCCTGAGATTCTGCAGCTGCAAAGTTCAGTGTACAGAATCTCCCATACACTGAGACAAGTCAGGTCTGTGCAACTCTCGCATGCTCTGTATGCGATAATGATACTAACTTCGCAGGATCCTTTACCACTCGCGCCCAGTTTCATTTTCGAATCAGATCCTGACAGTTCAGGCGTTGCAAAACGCTCTTATCTCTCTTTCAGATGTAATAGCAGCCTCAGACGTTTCAGAAGTGGTTCAAAATACTGCCTCAGCGACCAACAGCCGAAAAGCCATCTTCAATATGATCGACATGTTCCTAGCTGTCAATTCACCCTTGAAGGCGTTCGACTCCACTGATAGCTAAGGTTGGCCGACGTACTGGGTACCACTTGCTCAGACTCGGGTTCGTCAGTTTATATGTGTAGCCCTGTGTGCCTTCCTCGGTCACCGCGGTTTGGACTTTTAAGTGTGTATACTTTTCTCAATAACTTCAGGTTTACTTTCCTTACTAAAGTTTAGCTTACACTATCGGTCGTAATTGTTTTAGAGCAATACACCATTGATAAGAAACGTGATGCACATCTACCTCTCCTCTGAATTTCGGTACATATGAATCTCATTCTTCAGAACAAATAACGCAAATTTCAGAGTGTTTTATGACGTTCCGGAGGTTACGGAACACGACTCGAGCCCTGGGAAGGTCGATGTTTGGAACTTGCCAACCGAGACCGCGGGCGTAAGTAACGCTCCAAATTTTTTAAATTGCGGAGGCTGAGCGCTGAGCGCTGAGCCTAACGACTGCTTAGCAGTACTGCCTTCCTACACGTTTCGAATTTGGTCTGCCTAATGACAGGGGGTATCGTGGAGCTGATCGAGTGGGGATAATATGGCTCCATCGTGGCTTAAATTAGCTGCCTGATAGATTCCTCGACCAGATTGCACTGTTGCAGACGAGCTGAAGTTTGAAAATCGTGGAGTTTGAGTGTCAGGATGTGATCGCCGTTCAAGCTGCACATCTAGATATAGAACACTGTGGCACAAGATGCCCAATCGATATGGCAGGTTAGTAGTGTTGTGTGAGCAAAAGTAATCGATTCAATTGAAAAGGCATACAAGCGGATGGTGGACGAGTGAGCTTGCCCCATGCCGCAGCTCTTAGTACGTTTCAAAATCGTGGATTGGATCAATGCATTTTGCCAGTATTCACCAACATTAAGCATAGTGGATCGCATCATTCGGATCGTCTGTTCGCCGTGGTTACGCTAGTACTACCTGAAGCGGCCTGAACTATGTAAATACACCAAATCTAACACGAACGAAGCATAACGCATGGAGTAGGCTACTCCATATCGTCTAGTACTTAGCGGTGGGGCTTGGGTGTTGCCTCTAGCCTGAAGCTTGAAGCTTGAAGGCCTATATGAGTCATGACCATGATGCATGATGACTGATCATATCTGTTCCATTTATAAAACTTGATTACATACGATAAACAATGTGCTTTGTACTTGCACCATTTCATTCGGACCAGACACACCGTAGCTCCAGGAGTTCCAGATCTATCAACGGCGCATGACTGCATCTGGATTCACGCTGATTGACAGGCGATGCTCGTACTTCCTTATTTTGAAAAGAGGTGTCCTGTGGTGATTCACTAGCACTGACTGTTAATGGAAAGCACGCCCTGTTTTTTTGTGCTTGGGGGTGCGTGTCCTCAAAGTCTAGAAGATCGGATCAAATATTCCACAGGTCTGGGCCCTACTAGTAACACGGCGGCACCTAATGTATCAAACGATGAGGTCGGTGCAACCAGGGGTGCGTCAAAGATACTGCAATACAGAACTACTAAGCATTTGTATTTGGCTGCTGCCTACTAGTATCAAGTCCGCCAGTCGTATCTCCTAATCATGAGCACAGGTGGCTAGGGGTCGCCGATATGCCTCTAGTCCGGAAAGACTCTACTGACCGGCGATACTCTAGTTCAAACATGCATTATAGTTCGGTGCCGCTTGAGCGGCCCGAGTCACTCGAGTAAGCGTTTGTGAGCTTGCCACTACGGGGATTTCCTGGATTGCAGAGATGCAAAGCGTGGCCCGGGCCATATGAAGTAAGACACTTTGCTTTAATCAGCTTAGTGCTCAAGGGGCAGCACGAAGGTCTGAGCCCTTGACGACGCCTACCAGAGCTTATGGAGATCCTGAAGTGTCGATTTATCTCGCCATATCAGTCAACACGACGCTCATCCTAAGAAGTCGCATGATATCTCTGACAATATCGCGTTCTGTGGTCTGCTGACTTGAAAGATGAACACAGGAGCAGACAGCGCAGATGGGGCAGAGCCGCCGAAGTACAATGATTGCAGGCGAAACATACCGATATCGAGCAGAGGGGCCACTAGAACGAAGATGGACAGCAGAGGCACTCAGACAGACCGTAACCCCAGAGGTACCTGATCTAATAATGGCGTTATGACTGGGAGGCGATGGTCATCAGCACTTACTTATTTTTAAACGTGCCATACTGGGGTTTCTCGCGTGGCAGTCCCTCGGCAAGTTGATCAGCTGCTCGTGTCTTAGTACTCGGAACAGCACACAAACCTTACTTGACCAGTTTATTTTGTCCTGCAAAAAATAAATTGTCATCGAGACATACATGTGTTAGTAAACACAATCTGATCACTGCCACTGAGTCTCCTTCAGCTACGCTTAAGCCTCGTTACATCCGAAACGAAACATTTTTTTTGGTGGTTATATCACAAAAAAAGTGTTTCAATCGATGACCCAATCTGAATGTAAAGGTCCTGACAGAAAGTCTAACTTACGGCCCGTTCGGCAACCGGTTGTTTACGCCGCATTATGCAGTAGCGTGACAGGCCCACGAACATGTTGCCGACCGTTTCAAACGGACGCAAACGACCGAACGGGCCCTTAAACACAGTGACAAGTACTACTTACTAGAACTGACCGTACTGCCACGCTCCGCGAACATCAAGTTACCGAATGTGGAGTGAATCATTGACTTGGTTCACGACGGCCATGTGGGCACGGCCGGGTGAGAGATAGGGAGGTGATGAAATTTCCCGATGTGTTGTTGAAACTCGGTTCATGTACATGGTACGTAAATATACCTGATAAACCCATACTAATCCTATGTAAACTCCACTGGCTAGGTTGAGCGCCACCCTACCCTACAAAAGCCAGGTGGAGAAGATAACACTTTAGGTCTCAGCATTTTTGCCCATCTCCTCCATGCTTGATATGTTCTCCGTGTCGAACTGGCAGATTGGGGTAGTCATCCTTGGTCTACTAAGCGTCATCGTCTACTCCTACCGCTCCCGCACATTTCGCTCCCGTGTGTTACCTTTACCCCCTGGTCCGTCAGAGTCTCCTACTGGGCACTAGTATGTCGTGGTCATGCGATGAACGATGGATATCAACTCACGACAATAGTTCCCCCAGGAAGATTGCTCAGTGGATAGAAGAATATGGACCAATCATATCTCTCAACGATGGAAAAAATGTACTAGTCATCATCGGACGTCACCAGGTATGACCGCGTTCACATGTGGGATATCACCATTTGGGTATTCACAAATGACAGGAAGCAGTTGGCCTCATGGAGAAGCAGGGCGCATTCCTCGCAGACCGGCCTCGTTCGGTCGCTGGCGCTGACATCCTTGGAAGAGGAATGCGATTCGTCCAAATTGGCTCTGGCGAGAGGCTCCGCAAATTTCGCAAGTAGGCAACATATTAACTAATTCTGAAAAAGACTGTCTCACGGTTCACCGGCCCGACCACGCAGATCTTCGCATGTGCACCTCCAAGTGAAGTCTGCTCAGTCTTACGAGCCGGTACAGGTCGCGCATGCGCGCGAGATTATTCTGGACATACTGCACGAACCGAAATTGCACCAGCAGCACATCAAGCGGTACGTCCGTCCCCATAGTATCATACTCGCTTCAGCTGGTGACATTTGCGCAGTTTTGCAGCATCTGTAATTTTGCGTGTCGTATATGGGAAAACAACCCCTACTTTGTTGAATGACCCATATTTACTGCAGCTGCAAAAGATGATCCCAAGAATCCAAAGCGCGATGGTTCCAGGCGCATACCTCGTTGACAAGTACCCCATCCTCAAATATGTCCCTGGTTATGGGCGAAATTTGAAAGATTGGAGCCGGCAAGAATACAATATGTTATTCAGCCAGCTAAATGAGGTTAAAAGTCAAATGGTACAGACTCTTCTTCCATGGTGTAGTCGTTGCATCGACCTCATCATGAACAACAGGACCGCTACATCGCCCCTCATTCAGTTGCAAAGGATCTCCTTCTACACGTGGAGGAGAACCAGCTGTCCGAGACGGAGATAGCATACCTCTCTGGGTCTCTCATCGGAGCAGGTTCGGATACGGTAAGCCAAGAAACCGATATAGACGGCGACTCAGATCAGGCGAAACTAACTTGCGAAATCTTAGACTGCTGTCGCGATTTCAACGGTTTTAATGGCTGCTGCGCGTTTCCCACACGCACAAGCTCGCGTACACGAAGAGCTAGAAGCCATCATTGACCGAGAGACTAGTATGAAAGTTAAACCACCCTAGTTTAAAACCGACTGACCTTGTGCCGTAGTTCCTACGTTCGAAGACTGGTCGCAACTTGTTCAGGTTCAAGCCTTCATTCTGGAAGCTCTTCGATGGAGGCCCGTCAATCCGATAGGTGAGCCAGCCATGTACATCCAAGGCCATTTGGTTGATCGGTGTTCCAGGCTTACCCCACCGCGCAACGAAAGATATCATCTGGGTATGCCCCACACAATCACAGATTAAATATGAGTTCATCATCACTACAGAACGGCATGTGCATTCCTGCTGGTGCTACTGTCTTCGGAAATCATTGGTTGGTGCACGTCTGATTCATCTTACAAATTCTTATTTCGGTTCAGGAGCATCGCACGTGACCCCTCCGTCTACCACGATCCCGAAGTATTCGATCCACAACGATGGATCGGTGCAGACGGAGAAATCAAAGAGAATATGAAGCTGTTCACTTTTGGTTTTGGAAGACGGTAAGTATCAGTTCTTTATTTTACTGAGTTTCCGCTGAACATATTTTAGTGCATGCCCAGGGTTGCATGTTGCTAACCGGTGAGTCGACAATGAGGCTTGATAAGTACTTTGTCTCAATACACCCGCCACTTTCAGATCAGTGTACATTGCTGTCGCTCTTATCCTCTGGTCCTTCACACTAGCAGAAGACCCTAGCGATCCCATCGACGACACCGCCTTTACCCCTGGCATAGTATCACACCAAAAACCTTTCGGCCTAATCTTCAAGCCTCGCATGGGTGAAGCATCATTGAAAAACATTTTCTGTTCGATCGCCGCATAGGAGGTTTTCAGTGCGCGGCTGTCGGAGGCATTGCGATAAATTTCTAGGTCTGTATTGCATAAATTGTCCTTGTACTCGTAGTATGCGTGTAACAATAGCATGAACATGACGATGTGGTTCAACCCGCTGAGCATTCTTTCGAGTGCAGGAGACTCATGGTGTGGGTGGCTGCAACCACTGATTTGAGTTGGCTAACACTTCCGACAACTGCCCTCAAGGCTGACCGCCGTCATCTGATGTCACTCTAGAACTGCTGGAAAGATAAGAGACTCAGATACTAGTTTGTGTAGAGGCACAACCTAGCAAGACATTTGGTTGATCCTAAATCCCTCTGAGTATTAGCTGCTTCTTTTGAACTCATAGTTACATCAAAATCAGCCAATATTTCTTTCTCTTTGAAATACATCTTGAAGGTTCACTTATAGACAATGTTTCAAAGACTTGTCTTTAATAGCTTTGGCCAAGTGATCACCAGAGTCAACTCTGTTTCTATTGCATTGTGCAGATTTGAAACCTGCTAATTGCGACATTTGTTTTCTATGAAAACATGCCCCAGCATTTGCTTATCTAAATTGAATTTAGCTCAGGTTTAGCCATGTGACTGTCATAACAGAGTCAAAATCTGTTGCAACATGCTCACACTCATCCAACAACTCAGCCTTGTCAACAAATCTGTCCTCATCATATACCTCATCCATCATCCCTGGATCCTCTTCCACCTCCATGCTGAGTTCTTCCAGCTCCATCTCAGTACTATCTATCCACTTGGTTGGCTCCTTGTTTCTTCACATTGAACTCGTTGATCAACAATTTCACTACCAGGTTTACCATGTGGAGGAAGCACCTGGTGTGCATCACTCATCAGCAAACTACTGATTTGCTGACAATGTGTCACAACAATAACAAACAGATACAGAACTACACAAGTGTCACAAACAGCACAAGCCAACAAGCATTTGTCATTACAAATATCTACAGAGCGGTACAAGCAGCACAAACAAACAAACATAACAAAGTATGTAGCGCTTGAAATAATATCATAATAGAAGTGCGAAAAACATATATACCTCAAAATCAAACAAATTTTCTAATATAAATAAATATCTTGATGTGGCCAGGATTGTTTGTGACGAAGATGAATGTCAAGAGGTTGTCTGCAATCATCTCAATGGTGATAAGTGATAATGAAAACAACAAACGAGCACTCACCATTAAACCTGAGTCTGAGCGAGTGAATGCTGCAATACCACTCTTCTTATGCTCCATGTGCATGCGTCCAACATTGAGATCTGCATTCAATAAATGGCAGTTTGCTACCTCCGCATGATGGCACATACTGCAGTTACTTTACCCTTGTATAATACATACAGCCGAGGTTGAAATATCCCTGTTCTACACCGGCCAGCCCATGTGGGCCCATCAATGTATTGCTGTGTTAAATACAGGTGGGCCGATGTAGGAATATAACACAGAGTGGAGCTATCCAAAGATGGCTCCAAACTGATATCTTTATGTTGTGGTCTTGCACTGCCTAGTCTGCTATACTTGGTGAGACAAGTGCGTTCGACCCAGGGGTCTGCAGTCTGGGAATAGTTTTGGGGGTCAGTGAGTGATGTGGGGTTAATAGTCCGAGCATGGGAAACAATGTCCGAAGGTATAATTACAATGTCCGATGCAAAAGCGTTGGGTCCGATGTTTTCGGGGTTTTGGGTTATTGGGTTCAGGTTCAGGGTATCGGAAACTAATAGTAACACAATAGCGAGTGTCGGGAAAGTGAGAGGTGTGCGCAATAATAACAAATGACTGATACGGGCAGTGAAGGAACGATGATATTCGCAATGTCAACTAAGAACTACGAAATATTGGGTTTGACCCCTAAGCGTTGGAGAATGGCTCTCCTCTACTTGGATGATAATGATGCTATGGGGAGTCCAATATTTATGTAGATACATAGAAGTCTGGAACCCTATAGGCGAAAGTAGTAGCGAAATATTTTCAGATACGATGTCCTATGTAATAAGACATGAGGAGCTGCGGACATGTAATAATGTGGTCTACAATGTTAGCAATGTGAAAACAAGTAACTATGCACCTAGTGGGGCTAGCGCAATGAGACAGGACATAGGTAGGATGAGTACACGTGAAGTCCGATAGTCCGATGTGCGATGTCTGATGATTTTTGGGTTTGGTGTGTATTTGAGTTGGATAGGATAGGGAATGATTCGGGTAATGATTAGCATTGACACATGCATCGGAAATTAGACCTCTACGAGGCCACAGAAATGTCAGTCTCTACACCATGCCAACTGCAAACCCAATCAAGATCAACTGTGCCAACATTTAAATCACACAGGAGTCAATGCACAATCAAATCGATGCCAAAACAATTAAATTCAAAACCAAGCAGTATACAGGTATAATTCGCCAACCAACACATGATCTACAGTACAACTATGTAATCTGCTGAATGATCAGGGGAGGGAGTGCGCGGCAGAAGCAGGTGGCATAACAGCAAAATGTTGTTCAACTGCAGCAGGAGCACATGAGGGACTGGTGTGTGCTGATGCCGAGCACACTTATTCAGATGTGAAAGTGCCACCCTGCATATCAGGATGACCGGAAGGGCATGAGGCTGAGGTTTGACTGACTCCAATAGAAAGAGGGATGGGAGCAACCAAAGGGCCAAACACACCATTCAAGTACCTCATGCCAAATGTGGTGGCCGAGAAATCATCGCCATGGCTTAGTATTGGTGGTGAGAATGATGGATTGGTGAGGACCCACTCCTGCTGAAGCTTCTCAACCAGGCTGACAAGTCTATTCACCAATGTCACAGTGGCACCGACATCAAGCTGCATGGAGGAAAGCTCGGCACACATCGAAGAGATGTGGGTGTCAAACTCTTGTTCCATCGCATTCACCCTGGCAAGGGCATTCTTGTCGGCCATTTGCATGGCAGTGACCTGAGTAGTCAGGGCTAACAGGCTTTCAAGGATGGTGGGTGACAAAGGTGCTGAAGGAAGGGAAAGAGGGTTGGCTGCAGGAGTTGGTGGGGGGGATGGGAATGGGCATGTCATCAGTGTTCTCCACCCAATGGTTGGCGGAGAAGTCGGCTGCAGAAGCTATGGCTGCAGGCTGGTCAACCATGATTTGATCATCAGGATCAACCGACATCTCAGTGGTGATGTCGGTGTGCCGCTCGGCGTCAGTATCATGGTCTATCTCGGCATCATCATAATTGGTAACAGACGCCTCTACACACAAGGGTTAAAGCACATTATTGTGAAGAACAAAATCACTTACCAGTATCCTCAACAGTGTCCTCGGATTCTAGGATAGGAGTTGGTGGACGTACACGCGAGGTCGCTCTGGTTGTCTGGGATTGAGCCTTGGACTTGGAGGCCGGTGCGGCCTTTGACTGAGGATGTGACTTTGGGGCCTGTGTTGTTGAAGGACCCCGAGTATTGACCAACACCAGTTGGTTACACCACACCTTCATGAAGTGGCACTTGGCACAGGATTTGATGGCTTGGCCCTTCCTGCCGACCACAACAAGACAAGACTCCCCAATGCATCTCTTGCACAGTGGAGTGTACTATGAAACAGGTAGCACTCTGTCACAGAAATAAATTTGCCCAACTCACCTCCTCAGCATTGGCCTTCAGTTGCCTGTGCCCTCTCATAGGCTCGGCGATTTCCACAGCCTTCTCCTTTCCTTTGCCCTTTGGCTGGGCTTGGCCAATCTTTGGTTCAGCTTCTGGCTGAAGATGGTTGAGGTGTGAGGACTGACAGGAAGAGGTAAATCTCACCTGCTTGACATATTTGGTATTACCCTGAAAAGGAGTCAGCCATGATATCGGCACTGACATTACCGCTGTGTGTGAGGAATGATAGCTAGATGAGAAGGGGTGAAAGGGGAAGAAAGGGTGAAGTGGGGTAAAACTCAAATAGACCTCTGCGAGTATAGATTCGGCCCAAGGGGATTGCTACTGAGAACGATTCCTCTAAGTAAAAATATGGAGGGGAAATCTTAGAACAAGTAGAAGTAACTGAGAATGGGAAAGACGTGAAGCTAGCGCGATGCGAAGCGTGAAGGCAAAGCGGCGCAGTGGTGAACTGATAGAGCGGTTAAGGGATATACAGATATGAAAAGGCGGACATTTACGCAGCCGTTAGAGATGCGCACACGGTAATACATGTAAAACTTAGGTTGAGACAAAGTTGCGTGCAGACGGATGATAGATTCCTTGTGGGAGATAAATGAATACAAAAGAAATTCTAAGTACGAATATATATGTGTGCGTCTAAGCGCTGTTTGGAGCCAAGTAGGTAGCGGTAGTATGTAACAATGGTCCATAACACAAGTAATGAGGATATAAATGATATAGCATCGGTTTTATGGTCAGTCTAATATGAATTAAGTAGAATATGCACCAATGGACCAGGGGAGGACATGGATAGGAGGAGGGAAGGATGCGCGATGGAACTGAAGGTAAGCCGATGCGTGCGCATGAGCCATGACCATCAGCCAATAACAGAAAGGGTGCGCACTGCATTAGTGACAGCGCGCACAATGCGAGGACCTAAGGGCTCCAAGTCCTACACCACTGTGCTTACCTTTAATTTGAGGATCTTGGACTGCTAAGGTGGTGTAAGCAGTTAGTTGGAAATGGTGAATGGAAAACATACCTTAACTACGATTGTCCCTGTTGGCTGCCTATCCTTGTCCTTGGTATCAGAGATGATGGCCTTTGACAAACATTGGGTTTCTTCCTGCCTGACTCGGCATCTGGGCTGTCCTCTCGGGATCTATGAGTCCCTTGGTCAGACCATTTGATCTTGTCGGTCATGGTGCCAGGAACAACCAGATTGTGAGTATGACCAGGATGAGGAAGTGAGTCAATCTGTTAAGACCGTGCACAAAGGGTAGGACTGATTCCAAGGGGCTTGGCTTCAGCTTGTGCGCTGCGCCCCTTACCCGAGTATGTGCCCTTAACTTCAGAATGACATCCGGAGAAAGTCCAAGGAAGTCCGAAGAACTTCCGGATGAGCGCAGGAAAGTTCGGAAGGACTTTCCGGATGAGTGCGGGAAAGTTCCGGAGGAACTTCCGGAAATTACCATGGGGTTTCGTCCTGATACGGAGATGTGTAATGGCTACTCAGGACAAGTCCTGAGTAGAAGCAAACAGAGGAAAGGCTGCAAGGACAAAGTCCGAAGCAGAATAGGTCCGGAGGACTGTGGGAAAGTTCCGGAGGAACCTCCGGAAACTTGGAGAATCAGAGGAATGGTGGAGCGGAGGAGCGGAGGAGCGGAGCTCCGGCCTAGGGAATTCCTCCCTAGGCCTGAGATGGATAATGACTAAGTCGGAGGACTAGAACTGTTACGAGGACTTAGGGTGAAGGCTAGTGCGAGGACTAATATGTGTATGATATTCAGACTGAGGAAATACAGGAGTATCTACTGGGGTTTATATACTAGAGGCAAGTCTTTGCAGATCAGCAAGCAGAGGGGTAAGGCTATGTACGAGCATGTGGAAATGTATTTAGAAAATAAGACGGATCATAGGAAATGAACTCGGAGATGAAATGAGGTACGGAAAATGAGTATAGTCTAACTTGAGAAGGAACATACAAAGGGAAAAGGCACGGAAGATAGAACGGGTCAGATCTGGATGTTCGGAAGTCCGGAGACAGGTGATTACCATAAGGGGATGGGCGCTGATTTAAGGTTTGAGTTCGGACATGACAGATAGGTCGGATCCGGAGATCCAGAGATGTGGATATCAGATCTGGTGTCCGGATATCAGATGCAGGAGTACAGGGATCTGGATGGATAGAGGATTGGGTCTGGAGACATGGACAGGAGGTCCGGAGGTCCGGATGAGGCGTGGGAACGTCGTCGGATGTTGGTCCGGAATGCGGGATATGACACAATCGGTGGAACTGACATCTATTTGGGAGCTGGGGGTGCAACTGGGGAGAGTGCTTTTGCTTTTTCCGGTGCTGGTGCTGGAGCTGGTGCTGGTGTTGGTACTGGTGTGACACTCAGACCCGCACTGGGCAGGAACAAGTGTCTTTTGATACTTGTGTCAAGACCTATAGGAAGTTACAAGGTCTATATCATTTACATCTCCTCTAGTGACAAGTTCCGTTTGGCCAATACTCATCCAGCAACCACCTGCACTCGGATCTGCTTCTCCATACTACCTGTCCATGGTCCTTTCCATGTCCACCTATCTCCGCTGGTGCGTGTCCATTTTCTCTTTCGGTTTGACTACAATGATAGCGAGGCTTATTACATGTATCTGCATATTCTGTTCCATGCGCACTGAAGGTTCAACAATACAGCAAGGCACAAATGAGGCTCCTGACTGTATCTATAAATGTTGTAAGGTCGCGCATTGCCTAGTCTGCTATACTTGACACGACAAGTGCGTTCAACCCTAAAGGGGAAGCGAGTGCAGCAAAGATCTAGTAGTAGGCGCTGAAGGTGCTACTGGTTGGCTGATGCGAAGCGCGGGAAAGCGCAGGCGCGCGCGAGGCGTGAAGGTGCGGGAAAGTACGCGTGCGTATATAGAGATATGGAATGTAAGTGCTACTTTCTAGGGAGAGATTCCAACTAAACTGAGTTGTGTGGTATGAACATGGGGGTTGCTAAAACTACTTTCTGGTATGTACTACTGGCGCTTATGTATGGCGCCTAAGCGCTGTCATGCGGAGCCAAAGCGCTAGCGAGTAAGGTATGTAAAGATATATGTAAGTAAGGGTCCATGATAAAAATAAAGGTGGAACGATATGCAAATAAGAGAAATGGAAATATACGCACTAGAGAGCTTGGTGGACAGTGGATGGATGCTTCCAGATGGCTGGCGCTATAGGGCGCTCAAGCGCAGGAAAGCGCGCATGCATATACATCGTGAAGCGTGGGAAGTGTGTGCGCATGTTGCGCATTGCGCGGTGTAGGGATTCATTTCTGGCTGGGCTTGTAGAGACTGTTTTTACCTTACCTTATGTTGGCACTTTTGTAGCTTACATAAGAAAGTTATCTTTTCACCAGTTACCAGTAGGAGTCAGAGTACTCAGCAAGTTTTCATGATATTTCCTCTCCTCTGAGCCTTGAGCCTGGTCCAGAAACCCTTTAGGGTCGAATAGCAGCTAGGTTCTGCAAGACCCAACATTGTTCAGACTCACCATCTGAATTGTTGTACCTTCAGCGGGAAAGCTGCACCTCATATAGGAATAGCTGCGGATAGCATGCAGAGTGATGCTACAAGTTCGTGCCATGTACTCCCTAGTGAAAATGTCATATCCTGCATTCCGGACCAACATCCGATGACGTTCCCACGCCTCATCCGGACCTCCGGACCTCCTTTCCATGTCTCCAGACCCAATCCTCTATCCGTCCGGATCCCTGTACTCCTGCATCTGATATCCGGATGCCAGATCTGATATCCACATCTCCGGATCCGACCTATCTGTCATGTCCGAACTCAAACCTTAAATCAGCGCCCATCCCCTTATGGTAATCACCTGTCTCCGGACTTCCGAACATCCGGATCCGACCCATGTCTATCTTCCGTGCCTTTTCCCTTTGTATGTTCCTTCTCAAGTTAGGCTAACTCATTTTCCGTACCTCATTTCATTTCCGCCTTTATTTTCCTATGTCCTCATTTCCGTCTTCATTTACTATTTTCCGATAGACTAGTGTTTGACTTTTCTATACCCTCTGTCCACAGCCTCGCATAGCTTCGGACTGCGCTGACTGATTCTCCGTTAAGTCCTCTGTAGTATATAAACCCTGTAAAGTCTCTATACTTCCTCAGTCTGAATATTACACATATTAGTCCTCGCACTAGCCTTCACCCTAAGTCCTCGTAACAGTTCTAGTCCTCTGACTTAGTAATTATGCATCTCAGGCCTAGGGAGGAATTCCCTAGGCTGGAGCTCCGCTCCTCCGCTCCTCCGCTCCTCCGCTCCTCCGCTCCTCCGCTCCTCCGCTCCTCCGCTCCTCCGCTCCTCCGCTCCTCCGCTCCTCCGCTCCTCCGCTCCTCCGCTCCTCCGCTCCTCCGCTCCTCCGCTCCTCCGCTCCTCCGCTCCTCCGCTCCTCCGCTCCTCCGCTCCTCCGCTCCTCCGCTCCTCCGCTCCTCCGCTCCTCCGCTCCTCCGCTCCTCCGCTCCTCCGCTCCACCATTCCTCCAAGTTTCCGGAAGTTCCTCCGGAACTTTCCCACGGTCCTCCGGACCTATTCTGCTTCGGACTTTGTCCTTGCAGCCTTTCCTCTGTTTGCTTCTACTCAGGACTTGTCCTGAGTAGCCATTACACATATCCCCATCAGGACGAAACTCCATCGTAATTTCCGGAAGTTCCTCCGGAACTTTCCCGCACTCATCTGGAAAGTCCTTCTGAAGTTTCCCACGCTCCTCCGGAAGTCCTTCGGACTTCACTGGACTTTCTCCGGACTTCATTCCAAAGTTAAGGGCACATACTCGGGTAAGGGGCGCAGCACACAAGCTGAAGCCAAGCCCCTTGGAATCAGTCCTACCCTTTGTGCACGGTCTTAACAGAAAACTGCCATATCACACAATGTGAGGCACGAGTCTCTACAGCGCTCTTATTACATATTACTTATCTGCCTCATTTTCTATCGCTACAGTTATCTGGCACGTTACATACAGTACAGTACTTCCCTTCCCTCAGATGCTACCTTTGTTTTGCAGAGTCACCTTAGATGTTCTTTAGTACTTTGCACAATTGACAAGCTTTGTTCATTCTCACTTTGAACCCACGTGTTCTTGACCGCTCCAAGAATGTTCATCTAAGTTTTCCTTACCTAGGCTCTGCGCGTATCCAAACTGCTCTTGGTCTCCGACTTAGCATTCCATACCTAGTTATACCTTGGCCTTAAACCTTGTCTATACCTAGCCGCTACTTGCGGAACTGCGCTTTACCTAGAACCCGCTGCTCTTTACCTAGAATCCTCTCGCTTTCGTTTGTTTCACATTGCACCTTCATCGGACCCGTGGTCTTGGTCTTGCTCTCATCGGCGGACCCGCATTTCCAGCATCGCCTTAGTTCTTTCTGTTCCGCATTTGCTCCCTTCGCATTATACTTGAAGGAAGTGCTTCATAGCAATCCTCTTGTGACACAGTACACCCGCACTCAGTAGGATTTGATTAGTGCTCTAGTTTTCTTGCTAGCCAGCTCTTATTACTTCTTCACACTGGTTGTTCTGTAAGAATATTAAGGTGTAACTGTCAATCCAAAGGGTGCCAACTCACTATATCCAACAGTCTTTGGGAAGAAAGGATGTGACTCCATATGTGCATCATCAGCCAGCACACAGTTCCATTGAGGGACGAGACCTTGATTCATGGTCACCTGGACCCCGGCGGCAGCGGAAAGCAAAAACGGAAAGATGACTGAGCACTTCCTGCCATGCTGCTGGAGAGCTTGAGACTGTTGATTGTGAGTAGGTACATAACAAACGAAGTAAAAAACACACACCACTCGCCTTGCAATCTCGTGAGCCTCATCAACAACTTCACAACCATCTCCTTCCCAGCGTCTGATTTGGGTGACCGAATCGTGCACAAATGTGTCAGCGAGCGCCAAAGCATCATTGGATTCTTGTTATGACAGCATAGTTGAGATGTGAAAATTGAAAGTGTGAGAGTGTCTGTGTGGATGTGGATAGGACTTGACAGAAGGTAATGCCACAAAGAGCATCACATTGTGACACCACCGGAAATGGCCAAAGTGTGGCAGCTGTCAGACTTCTGCATTGTTCATCGACAGCATTGTTCAGGTCCACCAAAATTGTCTATAAAAATCCAATTGACAAAGCTTGAAGGCTACAAGACGAGCACATTAAAGCCGACTGGAATTTTATCGTCATGTGGGACCAGTGGGTGCCAATGAAGTTGTGTCCCACAAGGGACTACTTTGAAGGTAATAGCGCCAGCAATATTGTCAGAATTCACAGAAATAGAATAGAAATATGCACCGACGAACTGAATGGACATGGAATGGATGGACAAAGGACGAGCATGACTCTGTTATGACAGTCACATGGCTAAACACAACTTTGATCAGCTTGCAAGCAAAGCGACCATGAGCAAATTTCAAGGTGTGTTTTCATAGAAAAAAAATGAATTTTATCATTGGCAGGTTTCAAACCTGCACAGTCCAAGAGAAACAGATTTTGACTCTGGCGATCACTTGACAATTTAATCTTTAGCGGGTTTTGAACCCACACGGACAGATTTAGATTCTGTTGTATTAACTGCTCGGCTAAGACTAGTTGAATGCACTTCCAATGAACTCATTCAAAAGTGAATCCTCAAGGCACAATCTCAGCCTTGATATATTTGTATTTTTCCTCATTCCCCAGGTCATTAGGATGAAACTTGCAAGTTTGATGTGTAATCTGCTCTTCTTCTTCTTCTTCTTCTTCTTCAACAGAGTCAAGACCTTTAGAAAGAATTAAATTGTTCTTATGCTTATCCTTCCGAGTTTGCATCGAGATTTTGGTCATATATCGAACTCTGCGTCAAAAATACTCGCATTCACCTAGCAAAAAAGGATGCATGAAACCAACAGCAATGTCAATCAAGCTTTAGATCATCAGTGTTTGCTTGCTATACATTCGTGTGGAAATGTGAAGGTGTGATTTCATTATTCATACAATAAAAATAAAAATGTTATTGTCAAGGTGTGTTTTTATAGAAAATAAAATTCATCGTCGGCAGGTTTCAAACCTGCACATTCCAAGAGAAACAGATTTTGACTCTGGTGATCACTTGACAATTCGATCTTTAGCAGGTTTTGAACCCACACAGACAGATTTAGATTCTGTCGTATCGACTGCTTGGCTAAGACCAGTGAGATGCACTTCCAATAAACTCATTCTTTACAACTGGGTCATGAGTGAGTGACAACCGACAATGGAAGGATCACATATGATTGGACTTAAGGGGGATGTTGGAAATTAATATTAGAACTGACAAAATGCAGATAAATGTACCTTGAGTATTCACTTCTGAATGGGCACATTTGGAGTGCATCTAACTGGTCTTAGCCAAGCAGTCGATACGACAGAATCCAAATCTGTCTGCGTGGGTTCAAAACCTGCTAAAGATGAAATTGTCAAGTGATCACCAGAGTCAAAATCTGTTTCTCTTAGACTGCGCAGGTTTGAAACCCGCCAATAATACTATTTTTGTTTTATGAAATCACACCACCAGCAAGATGGTGCTCTCAGGAAAGCACACATGAGTCCATGTCGAGGTGTGTTTGGAATAAGACTAAGACCAATGAAGATCAGCATATGGGATGCTGTCTATGAGCAAATATTCAAGGCATGTTCTAATAGAACAAAAAAATGCGAGATTAAACAGGTTTCAAACCTGTTGCACTTCAATGAAAACAGATTTTGATTCTGTTATGACAACCACTTGGCTAAACACAACTCTGACGAGCTTGTAAGCAAACCGACCATGAGCATATGTCAAGGTGCATTTTTATAGAAAATGAAAAATTATCCTTGGCAGGTTTTAAACCCGCACAGTCCAAGAGAAACAGATTTTGACTCTGGCGATCACTTGACAATTTAATCTTTGGTAGGTTTTGAACCCACACAGACAGATTTAGATTCTGTCGTATCGACTGCTTGGCTAAGACCAGTTAGATTCACTTCCAATGAACTCATTCAGAAGTGAACCCTCAAGGCACATTTATCTGCATTTTGTCAGTTCTTTCAATAGCATGGTCGCTGTTGATTCTTTTATCCTGCTTTTATTGCAAAAGACATCAGACTTCTTCTGGGACTCTTGATTTCAAGACCTGTTTACCTCTCAGCCTTAATAGATTTGTATTTTTCCTAATTCCCCAGGTTATTAGGATCAAACTTGAAAGTTTGATGCGTAATCTGCTCTTTTTCTTCTTCAACCAAGTCAAGACCTTTAGAAAGAATGTTATTGTTATTGTACTTATCCTTCCGAGTTTGCATCGAGATTTTGGTCATATATCAAACTCTGCGTCAAAAATACACTGTGCGATCCTTTCATTGTCAGTTTTCACTCATGGACCCACCGTGGTGGTCTTCCATCAGCACTTTTTCAGGGAAATCATTAGATAAACAGGTCTTGAAGTCAAGAAGCCCCAGCAGGAAGTCTGTGTCTTTTGCAATAAGAGTAGGATAAAAAAATCAACAGTGACCATGCTATTAAAAGAGCTGACAAAATGCAGATAAATGTACCTTGAGGACTCGCTTCTGAATGGGTTCATTGGAAGTGAATCTAACTGGTCTTAGTCAAGGAGTTGATGCACCAGAATCTAAATCTGTCTGCGTGGGTTCAAAACCTGCTAAAGATGAATTTGCCAAGTGATCATCAAAGTCAATATCTGTTGCTCTTGGACTGCGCAGGTTTGAAACCTACCAATGATAAAATTCATTTTCTATGATTTACACACCTTGAAATATGCTCATGGTTGGTTGGCTGGCAAGCTGATCACAGTTGTGTTTAGACAAGTGGCTGTCATCACAGAATCAAAATCTGTTTCCATTGGAGTGCAATGAGTTTGAAACTTGTTGGATGTAACATTTTTCTCATAAGAATGTAAGGATCACATGTCCTCTATGCCCCGACCATGACTTCAAAAGGAAATTGTAGAACCAATGTTTGCAAACCTCCACATGACTCATTGATGCAAAGAAGCATCATGCTTCGCATCCGAGTCATGCAGATACATTCATCTTCTTTTTCACTCTTTCATCATCATTTTGACTTGCACAAACCGCTATACTCGCTACCTAGACAAAACCCTTGCTATAACCGACCCTCAGACCCTGTCTTTTGGTCATGGACTGCTCCATTCTCACTTTTCCATACCGAAACCTGTCAAAACTGCTATGAAACACTCGTTATTCTGTCCAAACCAAACTCTTTCTTACTGCCATTAATTCACTCTCTCGTACTTTCTCCTTTTTGCTCATACTAGCCACCTGTCAGGCTCAATGCCACTCCCTTCTGCATCTGTCACATCCTAATTGTTTCAGTCAAACTATCAAACTAACCGAGGACCCTTGCCATTGTGCACTTATATACAGCTCATGTACTTTTGTATTAGCAGCGAATCAGGGCACGTACTCAGGTAAGGGGCGCAGCGCACGAGCTGAAGCCAAGCCCTTCGGATCCGACCCTTGAGCACGTTCTTAACAGTCACTCACAATGTTTTCCCTCAGCTGAACAGATAAATTGAATACAGACTGCAATACAATATTTTCAAAAAGCGAGAGAAGAGCAACATGATGATGAAAGGTCTCAAATACAGTACACTTCAACCTTATACATAAGTGAATGGTGGCCAGATAGCTCTTTTGAATCTTTGTCTTGAATTCCAGCCTTGACAGATGTGTATTCTTCCTCATTCCCCAGGTCATTAGGATCAAACTTGAAAGTTTGATGTGTAATCTGCTCTTCTTCTTCAATCAAGTCAAGACCTTTGAAGAAATTTGTCTGTGTTTATGATTGGCCCAAGGACTGTGTTGAGATGCATATTC